CTACTAAACTCTCAGATCACGGATTCCCATTCAGTTGGGTGCCCTTTGATCTTCAGAGCAGCTGTGTGAAGCGCTGGTCCATCGAACACGGGGAAATGGAAAAAGGGCTGGCAGTCAGCCTCCCACCGCTGCGAGGGTGCTTTTGGGAGCCTCCCCTCTCCTCAGTGAGGATCCCAGAAGGAGGGGTACACGCACAAGAGGAGGGTCAGCCATGGCCCTCCGTGTTTGCAAAAGGAAACCCAGTTCTGCGTGAGGAGCTCTTCCTAATTAGCCTTGAACTTCAGAGTCTCTTGCTCACTTGCACGGCTTCCTCTCCCAGGCCCGACCTGCCTGTCGCCTAGAGCTGCTGACCTAGAAACCATCTGCCCTCCATGCTGGAGAGACAGCCGGGGGTGGAGCGTCTGACATCACCATCTCAGGCCGCCTCCCAGGGCTGTGCCCTGGCGGCCTGGCTGGCACCACGGAGGCCTGGGGAGGACTCCGGAGACGCCCATGGCCAGCCTCGTCCTATGTCTTCTTGAATCACCAACATCTGTCCCGGCGGAAAGGGGAATGCTGAAACACTTACCCCCCCCCCCCCCCGGCCGTGTGCAAGGAGGGGCCTGTGACCTTGGCTCCAGATGCGCACCCTCTTCCCCGGGAGGGCACAGCTGAGGAGGGTAAGTCCCAGTCGGCATTCGTCTAGGACGGCCATTTCCAACCAGCGGTGTCGCGAGCGTCTATAAGACATGCAATGCTATCTGGTCCTCTTTTTCCTTGGACCAAGGGTGAGGAATGTCCAGCCCTGGGCCGTATAAATCCCAAGAAATCATTTGGTTTGGCCCTGCCAAGGCATTAAGGGTGAATGAATGAAATGTCTGACCAAATACAGTAGGCTAGTTTGTGGTTTTTGTTTTTTATATATATATTTATTTATTTATTTATTTATTTTTTACAGAGAGGAAGGGAGAGGGACAGAGAGTTAGAAACATCTATGAGAGAGAAACATGGAGCAGCTGCCTCTTGCACACCCCCTATAGGGGATGTACCAGCAATCGAGGTACATGCCCTTGACCCTTCAGTCCGCAGGCCAATGCTCTATCCACTGAGCCAAACCAGCCAGGGCAGCAGGCTCATTTTTAAGTTGCTAATTGTATATGGTCCAAGAATGATGGCCTGTTGCAGAATAAAAGGATCCCCACCCCTACCTTAGATTGTCAAATTAAAAAAAAAAAAAAATCACAATAGCCAATACAATATCATAGTCGCCCGATGTGAATGAATCAAAATTACACCTATTTTTGTCAGATCAGCAAAGAATATATTTTTTGGTGTGTCTCCGAATTTTAATGATTAGTTTATGAAGTTGAAAATCGCCGGTGGAGGCTGTTTCTGGGCCCACGTCCCAGTTCTGGCCGCGGGACCAGGGAAGGGTTCAGGCCGGGTGCAGACCCACTACGTGGGGCTTCTCATGGGCGGAACTTGACCGAGCTCACAATGCCAAGCCCGTGGAGGGTGGGAGGAGGTGGCGAGAGGAACGGGGCGGCGACAGAAAGAGAGCTCACTGTCTCACGGACAGTGTCGCTGACAGATAAATATACTCGTCCAGTCTTGCAATGCCCATGGATTCTGACGGGCACGTGAAGATGACCTTTTTATGTGATTTGAATGACCTCACCTGCTGAACTGGTACCTCCCACCCAGGCCACGTGAAGCAACAGTCAGTATTGTAGTCGCCCTGCCCCTTCAGTGCTGGTACACACTGTGAGATGACACACCTGCGGGGCCGCAGGCGTGACTCCACTGCCAGGTATTGCTGAAACGTAGGGAGTACACATGTTCCAATAGGACCTGGGCATTATGTTTGATGTTCCAAGCATAATACAGAAGCCAGACGCTTCCTTTAAAAACAAAGAGGGGTGAAGCAGTGTTTATATTGGGGCGCGCGTTGATGTGCCGTGACTGGTGTGGCCGCTTGCTTTGATGTGGCTCACGCTGGTGTGGCAGCGAGGTTTCTCCCCATCACCCTCCCCCACAGGCTGAGAGAAGGAGCTCCCATAATGCTCACCACACGTGCCCCTCGTGGCCTCACGGGGAGTGCTCCCCCTGAGGAAGGCCAGGCTGAGCCAAGAGTGGGAGCCGCAGCGCCCCACCCTCACCTGCCCTGGTTTCCCCCTGGAGGAGGCCAGGTTAGCGATGGGCCTGCGCTCAGGGCACGGAGGTCACTGTTTGGTGACCGCGGTAAAATCCTGGACTCGCTAGGTTCCCAGGAAGTCAAAGAGCTTCCCCAGCCCCCGAGGTCTTGTGATGGACCATCCCGAGTTCTACTGCGTTAGGCCACTTGGATGACAAGGGTTTCCCAAGTTCAAGGTGCACTTCACCGGTCAAGGTGAATCTTGCAACAACCTCCCCCCCTCCATCCCCATCCCTACCCCCGGAGCTTCTAGATCCTCTAGAAAAGGAGCAACCAATGGGGTCACAGGATTGGAAAGGAGAGGATCCAGCCCTCCCTTCCCCCTCCCCACACACACCCTCAATCTACAATAATACCAGCTTGGTAGGTGAGTCAGAGAGGAGGCGGGGCGGCTAGGTTTGGCTTGGCCATGCGGCTGGCATCCTAATGACGACGACTCCTCCCTCTGCTTGCTCCTTCTAGAGCAGGGTGGGGAATGTGTGGCCCTCAGGCAGTCTAAGGCCCTGCCAAGGCATTAGGGGTGAGTTAATGAGATGTCTGACCAAATGCGGCCTGCTCATTTTTGAAGCTGGTAATTTTGCGCGGCCCTCGAATGATCTTATAAATGTCCAAGTGGCCGCGGGCAGAGAAAAGGTTTCCCGCCCCCTCTACCTTCCAAGCCCTTCTCCTCGGCACCTGAGGCTGTTCCCCTTCCAACAAGGGAGGGAGGAAATGGGGGACACACAGAAAGGGAGGACTTCCTGGACGCGATGGGAGTCTGGGCACAGAGCAAGGCCAGGCGGAGAGCCGGAGGGCACGGACGGTAATTACCCCTCCCGCCGAGGCGGCCTTCCTCCCCGGAGGCCGAGCAGCGTCGGAGGCCGTGACAAACACCGTACCTGCCCAAGCTCCAGAGGAAAACATTTCTGGCCAGGCCTGCAGCCAGGCTCCGGGGACTGGCACCGGGAGAGTCAACAGACTGAGCCAATAGGAACCGGAGGGAACTAGTTCTCCTGCTCTCCAGATGGTTCATGACCCTTCAATTATGTTCCATGCAACAGGGCTGAATTATTTTTTAACTTTTATGGAGTCTCCTGGAGCATCCTGACTTCGCCAAGGAAGTAGTAGTTGGTCGGGATGAACTATTAGAAATATCAGTTGGGTAGTGGCTAGAAGCAGAGACCAGAAAAAAAATTTCACAAGTAGAGCCCTAACCGGTGTGGCTCAGTGGCTAGAGCGTCGGCCTGCGGACTGAGGGGTCCCAGGTTCGATTCCGGTCAAGGGCATGTACCTTGGTTTGTGGGCGCATCCCCAGTGGGAGTTGTGCAGGAGGCAGCCGGCTGATGTTTCTCTCTCATCAACGTTTCTGGCTCTCTATCCTTCTCCCTTCCTCTCTGTAAAAAAATTAATTAAAAAATATATTTTTTTTAAAATTTCACAAGTAGAAATGAGCCTGTGAATAGTACTCGGAACAATATTGGGTAGGTTAAGCGTGGCATCTTTTGTTCGAGGAGCCATGACTATGGTCCGTTTTGGGGGTTTGTAACTTGTGTCTCAGAATAACAGGGCGCATTTCCTTTCAGCGATGTCCCTGTTAGCTCAGCAAATGGCAGGGGAGCCTCCGCTCTGACTTCCCCAGCAGCTCTGTCAAAGGTTCAAGGTAATCCTGCAGAAAGTCAATACGGAGCGTTCTAACTGCACCGTCTATGGGACAACCCGACTCAGTGTCTAAGCAAACACAGATTTCACTTCCCATAGCTCTGTATGGGGCGAAGGGAAGGAAGGGTTTATGTCTGCTCTTTGCTGCAGCTCCACGCTGTAACATCTCCTTTCAAATCTTGTCAAGGGTATGATGCAACCTCACGGTGAAAAGAAGTGTCCAAAGTTCCTCTGATGATGGTATTCGTTTAGAACAAGGGTTGTAATCTCCAGTGCCCCTCAGGTGCCAACTAGCTTTGTTTTCTAATATCATCCTGATCGGTCTTCTTTTGGCCCTGAAACACTCGGCTTTTTAGCTCACTTTCCTCTTAATTCTACGATCAGAAATACAACAGCACAAGTTTGACCATAAATGGCAAGCTGACAGTCAACCTCAATGTTTGGGAGGCAACAGGGAGTAGAGGAGACTGTGGTGAACTGGAGAGCACATAACCTGTATAAAGGTAGAAGCCATGCCCTAGCCAGTGTGGCTCAGTGGATAGAGCGTCAGCCTGTGGACTGAAGGGTCCCAGGTTCAATTCTGGACAAGGGCGCATGCCCAGGTTGTGGTCTCCATCCCCAGTAGGGGGTGTGCAGGAGGCAGCTGGTCAATGATTCTCTCTCATCATTGAAGTTTCTATCTTTCTCTCCCTCTCCCTTCCTCTCTGAAATCAATAAAGATTTTATTTATTTTTTATTTATTTTTTTTAAAAGGTAGAAGCCACTGTTAACCCCAACAGTTTCCCTTGCAGAAGTGTGGGCTCAAGGCTTTCTGGAGAAATCAGAGATCCAGATTCTTATGTACAATTTCCCGATATTTATACGTGGACTATTTGTTAGCTTAAAAAACAACAGGCATCAGGTTGGCACTTTGCTGCCTCTCTTCAATGACTAAAGGCGGTATGACTGGGCACAGAAGTAACCTGGAAGTCAGAAACCCAAGACTGCGAGACCTAGTCCTGATACCAACCCGCCCTGTATCTGGGCCTCAGATGCCTTGTCTGAAAAGTTTAGACATCAAAAATTCTATCCAGCCCAGCCGGTGTAGCTCAGTGGTTGAGTGTTGACCCATGAACCAGGAGATCACGGTTTGATTCCCGGTCAGGGCATATGCCTGGCTTGATCCCAGGTGTGGGACCGGCATGAAGCAGCCAATCAATGACTCTCATCATTGATGTTTCTATCGCTCTCTCCCTCTTCCCTTTCTCTCTGAAATCAATAAATACATATATCTATATATTGTTTTAATTCTATTCACTCCTGAATTATTATACTGCATAATTAAATAAGCTTTCTAGATAGTCAACTCTCACAAGAATAACCAGAAACATTAAAAGGAAAAAAAATAAACACAGATTGTGCCACAGAAGGGTTAATTACACTGTCCAGACACGGCCTTGGTGTGGCCAAGCCAGCTGGTTGACATAACCACGAGAATATGAACACTGATCAGGCCAGATCTCCTCTGTGACAGCTGCCCACCCCCTGGAGAAAATAAGAATTGTATGTCTCCTGTGACCTTGGCAGGGACCGTTTGTCCACAAACCAGAACTATCTTTCGAACCCAAAACCTGGGGTTTCGAAGGAAGATTCTGAGTCAGAAAACAAAGCTGGCCAACAGGTTGCCCTGAGCCAGGATTCTTGCTTTGCAAGCCCACCCTCAGCTACCGACAGGCAGACCTGCAGTTGCCACATCGTGGCCTTCCGCCTGAGCCAACTGCACCCAGCACATCTCTGGTTACGTAACCCCAGCCACGGCCCACGTGTGTGCACACGGCTCTCGCTGCACAAAGCACACACAGGGCTTCTGATACAGCACCTTTATCCCCCGCGGGGGAGGCGAGGAGGGGACCACAGGGAAGGGAATAAAAAAAATAAAAAATATTAAGCTGGAAAATAATGAACAATAGGTAAATTAAAGACTTTTCTCCCCCCACTGCAAAGGTTAAAAATAGGCACATTTCAGAGGACAGAAAAGTGTTCGCATTCTTGGGCCAACTGAAGGCACGAAGAGCAGAAAGCCACGTGAATTCTGACTGGGCCGCTTCTTTACACGGCCATGCCGACACGGATGGCCCAGCGAGGGGGGAGAGGGTGGTCGGCGCCTACACTCCCAACTGCAATTGTGCAAAAGCTGTGAACAACGGGGCCTTTTTATTTTGCCACTGGGTAAGAATCCTGTATGTGTGTTTCTTACTGATTATTTTATTGATTTTGGAGAGACGAAGGGGGGGGAGAGAGGTGTGAGAGAGAGTGAGAGTGAGAGAGAAACATTGATGTGAGAGAGAAACATCTCTCAGCTGCCTCATGCACGTGCCCTGACCAGGAATTGAACCTGCCACCTTTTGGTGTACAGAAGGATGCTTCAACCATCTGAGCCACGTGGGCCAGGACTCCAGTACGTGTTACAAACGAATTAGCTTTGATTCCATAACCAGTCATAATCTCTCTCTTTGGTTCTGTCTCTCTTAGAGACATTTCCTCCTCTGTAACTTGGCCTTAGGTAACCACTGTTGGTATTCTAAGTCAGCTGATTCTAACCCTAAGGCTTGGTAGCCTCTGCCAGCTGCCTGGAATGCTCTTGGCCCTGATCTTCACAAAGGCCGCTCATGAGCCTCCCAGCCTCCGGGGTGCCCCTCAGAGAGGCCCTCTCTGGCCACTCAACAAGCTACCCATGCATTCTGTGTCGCATGACCCTGCTTCAATTCTCAGCCTAGTATCCACACCGCCTGACATCTTTCCTGCTTCTTTATTTCTTTGTTGCCTGTCTTCTCTCATGAGCATATAAGCTCAGTGGAAATACAAATTCTGTGTCTTGTTCACTGCATGTATCTAGCAGGCAGAAGAGTGCCTTGAATACAGTGAGTATTAGCATGAGTGGAAAGGATGGATGGATGGATGGACGGACGGACTGATGGATGGATGGGTGGGTGGGTGGGTGGATGAATGGATGGATGGAAGAATCATCTAGCAAATATCTGTGAAGTGCCTACGGTGCCCTGGGAAATAATAGGGAATAAGACCCCCCCCTTCAAGGACTCTACATTCTACCAAAGAAGACACACATGATGAGTGTGAGGATACTCTGTAAGGAAAGCTAAGAATTGGCCAAAAGGGCAAAGGTGAGAATTGGGGCTGCAGGGAAGGCACATTGTTGAGAAACATCCAAACAGAGCAGCAAGCCTGAGAGCAGAGCACAGGCCCAGGAGCCACAGGTGTGCCAGTGGGTGAAGGAATGAGGGAGATGGGACTCGAAGGAGGCATGGATGGGCCAGCTAAGGAACCTCGTAGACCAGCCTCTGGACATTTGATTTTTAACCCTCTAAGCAATGGCAGCCACTGAGATCATTTGAAGGAGGAAAGTGATACGACGGCTTTATGTTTTATAAAGATAATTTTGGCACTGGTGGGGGCAATTATTTAGAGAAAAGAACAAAACATTTAGGAGGCTGCAGGAAGCTGTTGTCTAATCCACATCACACACACACACACACACACACACACACACACACACACATCACAGATCCCAACTATTCCTGGCAATGGAGAAAGATGTGTGTGTGTGTGTGTGTGATGTGTGTGTGTGTGTGATGTGGATTAGAAGCTACTTAAAGACGGAACCCATAAAGCATAGAGACATACAAAAGGTGGGAGGTGAGAGAAGGGATGAGGTTAAAGAAAATCCCGGCTTGCGGTCTGTGTTATCAAAATCTGTGGTTCTCATGCTTTTGGCCTGTGAAGCCCTACATTCACTTTTTTTTAGTCTGCTTGCTTCCGTGAGCTCAGGGACACTCGCCCAAGTGGCTGGCTGTGGTCCTGGCACCGTGTTCGTTTATCTGCTTAGTAAGTACGCCTGTGCAGAAGCCCCTCTGACGTGCGTGCGTCAAGTCCACCGTGGGGAAGACTACGCACACGTTGTTATTTGGATGCACAGCCATTTCTGGGTTCACACACATGGATCCATCACTGCAGAAGCATGACTATTGGTCTAAATATAGAAGTGCCTGTCACCTCAGAGGAAGAGCAGAACACAAGTCATGATTCCACTTACTCCTAGGAATTTTTTTTTTTAGTCCTGGGAGATTTTAAGGTGATAAAATTGAAAAGCAAATCAATGGGATGTTTCTTCAGTCCGTAAATCTGATCAAAAGGTCAAATGATGCCAAAACCAGTTTGGCTAAGTGGTAGAGCGTTGGTCTGCGGACTGAAGGGTCCCAGGTTCGATTCCGGTCAAGGGCATGTACGTTGGTTGCAGGCACATCCCCAATGGGGGGGTGCAAGAGGCAGCTGGTCGATGTTTCTCTCTCTTCGACGTTTCTGGCTCTCTATCTCTCTCCCTTCCTCTCTGTAAAAAATCAATAATAACATATACACACACACACACACACACACACACACACACACAATTTTAAAAAAGGTCAAACGATGATGACCCTACCTATGTTTCACTTCTTTTGACCTTAACTGCTAAGTTAAACCCCAGCCCCCTCTACAGCATCCTTCACCCCAACCCCAAGGTATTTCTCACTGTCCACAAAGGGGACCTCACCGGGGCTGAAAGCATGCACACAGCTGGCTATCTGACCAGATGCCCTGCAGGGACCTCCAGTTTACTCTTTTCTCCTACGCTAGACCGCATCTGCTGCTACCAAAATGTTAGCAGCATGGGCTCTGGTGCCTGCCAGCGTGGGTTTGAGTCCTGGATGTGCCAGCTGCAAGCTGTGTGACCTGGGCCACGTTATCTAGCCTCTCAGAGCCGCAGTTGCCGCCCTTATAAGATAAGAACATTATCTAACCTACCTCCTGGGGTAGCTGTGATGATTGAATAAGTTAGCATTTAGAAAGTAGTTAGACTAGAGTCTAGCACAGAGCAAGCACTCAATGAACGTAAGCTGTGATTCCTCCTACCACTGGCCTGCTGTAGTCTCAGGTCGTCAGAAAGGAGAGCTTACATCTGATCCTTTAAAAGAGCGAGAGACCAGTCCTAACCGGCCTGTGGACTGAAGGGTCCCAGGTTTGATTCCTGTAAGGGCATGAACCTTGGTTGCAGGCATATCGCCTATAGGGGGTGTGCAGGAGGCAGCTGATTGATGTTTCTAACTCTCTATCCCTCTCCCTTCCTTTCTGTAAAGAATCAATAATTTTTTTTAAATAAAACTAAAAAAAAAAAAAAAAAGCGAGAGACCAGCTGTGGTGTTCAACTTCATGGAAATGGAAAGCAAGTATAAACTGTAAAAACGTTCAAGACTGAAAAACCCAGGACTAAAGGATCGTTCTGATATGAAATTTTAATTTCTCTTTGATGATGATGAAGTACCTGTCAATAGTCTTAACATTAGGACAGAGAGAATAAAATGAAATTTAAAACATAATACCATTTACATAAGCATCAAAAACATTGAATAGGTAAAAATTAATCTAACAAAAGCTGTACAAGACCTATCCAGAAAAATCAAGAAACATTACCAAGAAAATTTAAAGAAGACCTATATAAATGGAGAAATATGCCATGGTACTAGACACAAAGGTTCAATATTATAAAGCAATATTATAATTTGTTCTCCCCCAAATCTATAGAATTTTTTCAATCCCAGTCAAAATCTCAGCACTTTTTTGTGGAAACTGACAAGATAATTCTAATTTTTCTATGAAGGGCAAAGGGATAAGAATAACCATGATCTTGAAGAAGAAAAACAGAATGGGAAGGTCTACACTACCAAATGGCAAGATTTAGAAAACTCCAGCATCTAAGCCAATATGGTATTAACACCAACTGTTGTCAATTGAAGCATCAAGGAACACAGATATGCCAATAGAAAGAAGAGTTTAGAAAGTCCTCTGGTTTTTGAGAATGCTACCCCTGTGGGTCAAAGGGGAAAGGGTGGACGTTTTTAATGGCTCTGGGTTATTTGGATGTCCTCATGGAAAAACAAATGACCCTTGGCCCCTATCTCACAACCATCACAAAACGAAATTCTAGAAGGAGTGTAGGCATAAATTGGGAAGGCAAAACCTTGAAACTTCCAGGGGGGAGTAGGGAGAGTATCTTCACGCCCCGAGGACAGGAAATGACTTCTAAAGTAGGACACAAAAAGCACAGACTGTAAAGGGAACAACTGGTGAGCGGGATTTCATTAAGAACTTCTGCTCATGCAGACCCCATTAAGGGAGTGAAAGCGAACCACATGGTGGGAGGAGAAATCTGCAGTAGGCAGCCCCAACACAGGACTCATCAATCAGTAAGACAAAAGGGGAGAAGCAAGAGCCTTGAGCAGGCCGAAACTGGTTTGGCTCAGTGGATAGAGCATTGGCCTGCGGACTCAAGGGTCCCAGGTTCGATTCCGGTCAAGGGAATGTACCTTGGTTGCGGGCACATCCCCAGTTGGGGGGTGGAGGGGTGCAGGAGGCAGCTGATGGATGTTTCTCTCTCATTGATGTTTCTAACTTTCTGTCCCTCTCCCTTCCTCTGTGAAAAAAAATCAATAAAATGTATATACATTTTTTAAAAATCTTGAAAAGACATTTCACAAAAAATACCTCCGTGGCCCCCCAAATATATCTTAAACTGGCTCAACATCGCTAGTCATTGGAGTAATGCAAACTAAAACTATAATAAGGCACCTCTGGGCCCTGGTTGTGTTCTAGTTCACGACATGGGTGGTGGTTTCACAGGAGAAAATCCACTGCGTTCTTCACTTACGGATGTGTGCACTCCTCTCTCCAGAGTACACTTTAATAAAAGTCTTCCAAAAAAGAAAGAGAGTTTAGAAATATACCAACCAACTGTAATGTGTAAACCTTATTTGGATTTTGCTTCATGCAAACCAACTGTTTTAAAAAACTGAGACAGTTGGGGGAATTTGAGCCCTAACTGCATATTCCATGATAATTAAGGGATTATTTGATTTTTTTTTAGGAATCATGATGTTGTGGCAATATTTTCAAAAAGACTTAAATTTTAGAGCTACGTACTGAAGTATAAATATATATACTATAAACAAAGTAGTATCCTAAATTTGCTTTAAATCAATTTAAATTTGCTTTAAATCAAAACAAGAATAGATGAGCTGGTGGCTATTGCAGCTGGATGGGCATCACAGTACTGATCTCTCTACCTCTGCGTACGTTTAAAATCTTGCATACGAAGCCCAGTTGGTGCGGCCCAGCGGTTGAGCATGGACCTATGAACCAGGAGGTCACAGCTCAATTCCAGGTATGGACACATGCCTGGGTTGCCAGCTCCATCCTTAATAGAGGGCGTGCAGGAGGCAGCCGATCGATGATTCTCCCTCATCATTGAAGTCTCTCTCTCTCTCTTCTCTAAAATCAATAAAATATCTATGTATTTTTAAAATATTGCATAATTAAACTGTAATCACCTGGTTCAAGGTCAACGCTCAAATCACTGAGCCATGCCAGCAGGGCAATAAAAACTTTTAAAAACTACAGCAAATCCGAAGTTTTATGTGCTTTGGCTCTGTAGGACTCCTCTCTCCTTCCCAACCGGATCAGGTAATATCATGTAGTGATGGAGGCTACAGGGACCTTTAGAAGCCATCATGGCCATTCCTGCATTAGCAAGCCGAGCACCGGAGGAGAGGGACCCCCACAGCACACCTGCGCACTGGCCAGCACAGGAGACAGCGTGGCCCCCCCTCAGGGCAGTTCAAGAACCATTCCCCCGGGACCTGGCTAGGCAGAGCAGTCACTTACTTACGTTGGGGCATATGCCAATGTGAGGCATCGAAGCAGCTTGGCTGCCCTCCCTAAAGGAATAGACTCTTAACAGAAGCTCCTGTGCCTCGCTGAACTGACCCTCGCCTCACCCTGGACAGCAAGTGTGTGCTCTCTAGCATTGTCTCCGCAGTCTGTGGCTCCCTTTGCCAGCGGACCTGGCTGGACCTGCTTCTGGAAGGATGCAGTATGAATTCCCCCATGACTCCAGCCTGCCTCCTTCTTATTCTGGGCCCCGTACTGCTGTCAGCTTATAGCTTAGAAACCCCCATCAGACAGATACAAGGGGTTGTCCAAACAACCCGGGAGGGCCTCTGATTTCATATGTCGCCCAGCAAGCCCTCCAGGCCTGGAGCTTCCCAGTTCAGAGGGAGAGAAAAGTCACTCATCCCCCGATCCACCGTTTCAAGATGGAACCTGGAGACACCTCGCTTAGCGCACTGCCCCTCTGAGGGACCTGCTGTAGGACCTTCTGGAGAAATGAGCTGCGTGTCTGATAAGGAGCCTTCGGGCACTGCCCGTGTGGATTCTGGAGGAAGAGAAACCTTCTCCTGTCCCTCCAGGGCTCACTTATCTGCTGCAACGGAGGAGGGCTTCAAAGGGGAGGGACCAAGGTCTCACACACACACAAGAGCAAAGTTCAGAAAGTGGTTTACAGGACTGGCTTCCCTCTCTTCATTTGGCCCCTAGGAATTTCAACAATGGGCACTTTTCAGGTATTCGTCTGAAAAGTGGGTGAGCCATGAGGGGCGACCAGGCCCACGGAGGAGGGGGGGGGGCAGTTGGGGGCAACCAGGCTGGCAGGGGGTGATGCAGTTGGGGGCAAACCAAAAATAATTAACTGGAGAAGTCCAGGGATCCTTTCGGCCATTTCGGAAAACCGGGGCAGTGCAGAGTGAGCACAAGGCTCTCGCACACAGCAGCTAGGGGACCCAAGTTCTCTGTTTCCGGTTATCACCTGTAAATGGGGGCCGTAGAAGTATGTACGTACCTCGTCAGGTTGATGAGAAGGTAAAATGACGCAATGAATGTAAAGTGCTTAAAACAATGCCTGGTTAGTGTTAGCTCATAGTATTACTTTATTTTATTTTTATTTATTTATTTAAAATATATTTTATTGATTTTACACAGAGAGGAACTGAGAGGGACAGAGAGTTAGAAACGTCGATGAGAGAGAAACTGGGGATGTGCCTGCAACCAAGGTACATGCCCTTGACCAGAATCGAACCCGGGACCTTTCAGTCCCCAAGCCGACGCTCTGTCCATTGAGCCAAACCGGTCCTGGCATCAAAGTTTTAATTTTTAAAAGTCTAAACATTCGACCATTCCTTCTAGCTGGGCTGTGCATACGTATTCATAAAATGTACTTTCTCGTAATAATTAGAATTTGTTGTTAATAGCCATGACCGTATTTTGCCTTCATTTATGGCTATCACACTGTCAGGAGGGCGAACAGCATATGAGACTGACAGTGAGGAAGACTGTCCGAAGGGCCTGCTATGCAGGGACTCCTGGGGCTATTAATTATTTATCTACTTTTCCAAGTTAATAAATAGGCCTGTCTTTTGCCCTTTATTCCCCAGATGGATTTAACCAAATGAGAGATGGGGGCGTGTGTGCAGAGTTAGCCATCTGAGAGCGCAGGAGGTGCAGATAATGGAAAGGAGATTTAAAAAATACATATTCATTTAATGCCTGTTAAATATGCACAACACTGCTTTATCTGGCATGTTTTCTGTTACGAATGAATTCTCATGACTATTTTGATGGTTTTAGAGTGTACTTTAAAAAACATGAGTGTTTTAAAGACGTAACATTAATACCAAAAAAAAAAAAAAAACCACACACACAAAAAAAAAACAGAAAGCAAAATTCAAATAACATGCTGTCACCAAAGTAAATAAATAAATAATGCTTATACATAGTTAGAAAATGCAAACACTGAAGAAATAAAAACCTCCTTCCTCACCACTTGAGTCCTTCCAGCCAAAGGTAAACCACTCTTTATGCTTTTTATCTTCCCAGGAAAAAATATGTTTGCAGCCCTGGCCGGCTTGGCTCAGTGGACGGAGCATAGCCTGCAGACTGGGGAGTCCCAGGTTCGATTCCGGCCAAGGGCTGCATGCCTCTGTTGCGGGCTTGATCCCCAGTGGGGAGCGTGCGGGAGGCAGCCGATCAATGATTCTCTCATCACTGATGTTTCTATGTCTCTCATCACTGATGATGTTTCTATCTCTCTCATTCTCCCTTCTTCTCTGAAATCAATAAAGAAATATGTATATGTTTTAAAGTAATATGTTTGCATATATATTCATTTATTTACCAAAACGAATCACAAGCACGCTTTCAGATACATACTTTTTAACTTAATAACACGCCTTGATACTATTTCCACATCAGTGCACGTCATTACCACATTCTGTCTGCTCTTACACACATGTGGCAATGAGGGGCATCTCTGCACACACGGCTTAGTGTTCACATGTGTTCTGGGTTTGTTTTTGTAGTGTGACCTACTAGGAAAGTCAGGGCAGTAACTACAAACTACTCCAGGCGGTCCATCCCAGCTGTGTGGTGAGAGAGCAATCCCATCTCCTGGGTTTATTTCTGTTCCTTTGGGAAACTTCCTGAGACAACGGAGGGTCACACCATGGGGGTCTCGGGGGCAGCCTGAAGGGGCCACAGAGAATAGGACCGGGTTCAGCTGAGAGGAGGTGAATCTTCAATGCCTGTTCGCTTCCATGCCGCAGGGCAGCAATTCTGTCTTTGCACTTAGATCCACCTGGCGGGCTCCCTGCCCGCCGGGCCAGGAGTGGACCGAATGCTCCTGGCATGAATGGAATGCTTGCAGAAGGGAGGCATAAGCAAGCGCTGGGGCGCTGTGCATGGAGCCAGCAGCAGGTAATATGGCCAGATGACTGTGACCTTCACTCTAGTGCACAGCTATTGGGAAGACCAAGATTCAGGATGTTTGCCTGGAGCTGTGGTTGGCAAACTGCGGCTCCAGAGCCACATATGGCCCTTTGGCCCCTTGAGTGTGGCTCTTCCACAAAATATCACGGCTTGGGCAAGAAGTGGAGTTAGAAGAAGTTTAAGTTTAAAAAATGTGGCTCTCCAAAGAAATGTCAATTGTTATGCTGGTGATATCTGGTTCTGTGGACTCATGAGTTTGCCGACCACTGGCTTAGGTGAACCATACACAGACCCGGCTTCAAAGAATGTATGTACTAGTTGGGAGTCTCATGGGTGCATTGTTCACAGACACATTATAGTTGGAAATCCTGAGAGGCCAATCAGGTCAACTATCTGCTCTGTAACGGACTGCACATCCCTGGCAGAGGGGGATATACCTACCAGGATTTGGACACCTCTGGGACAAGAAGTCGCTTCCTGTTTGGAACCTAGCACAGGACTGCTCGCATCGAGACTGTTCAACCAGTACGGACCTGAAGCTAAAGGAATCAAACACCTCCCTATGCATTCCCTGTCTTTTTCCTGAAAGACAACTTCAACCTTTTTTCCTGAACCCTTCTCAGTCTTTTCCAGAAGGGTGGAGAGGGGGAGGTCAATCAGGGGGACGAAGGTCCCGAAAGGCTCCTTTTTTTAATTTATTTTTATTTATTTAAATATATTTAATTGATTTTTTTTTTTTTTTTTTTTTTTTACAGAGAGGAAGGGAGAGGGATAGAGAGCCAGAAACATTGTTGAGAGAGAAATATCGACCAGCTGCCTCCTGCACACCCCCCACAGGTGATGTGCCCACAACCAAGGTACATGCCCTTGACCGGAATCGAACCCGGGACCCTTCAGTCCACAGGCCGTCGCTCTATCCACTGGGCAACACCGCTTTTGGACCTGGAAGAAGGCGTCTTAGCAAGTTAAAAAACGACACGACGGAGGCCTGCGGGGGAGGGAGGGGAGGGGGCACTCACCATGAGGGCTGGCAGGCTGGAGGTCAGCACAGGCTCCCCGGAGGCCGTCCCAGGTGAGCTCCGTGTGGAAAGACGGACTGCAACCAGAAAGGTGGGGAGAGAGAGGGAGGGTGTGATCAGAGAGCACGCGGATGCCATGAACTCAGAATCCTAATGAGGCCCGTCTTGGTCACGTGGGAAAACAGAAAAGCTGGGCCATCCATATTGCAATGTCACCCCCACGTTATCCTCTTCCTTTCCTCGGTGCCGGGTGGGCCTTATCAGGAGCCACCACACCGGTGTTTCCCTGGTGAAAGCTGTGTACCTTCTATCTCCCGTGCTGCCACGGGCCCAATAAATCATTACACACCATTTTCTTTCCCCCTTTGGCCAAAATTAAATTTTGTACAGACCGTAACAACGCAACGAATAGTAGGGAGGTGGTTTATAAAGTTGATAGACCCAACAGGGACCTTGGTAGGCGTGAACCACCTGGTAATTCAGGCTCTGGGGGGACTCAGGTCTGTCCCAGGGGAACAGACACTTCCAGGGTGAGACAGACAGACAGACACACACACACTCACTGTCTCCCTGGAAGCAGCGTTAAGAGGTGAGGACCACAGAGCGAAGTTTCCCTCCCACCCCATCCTGCCCTGGGCTTCCTCTGCCTCCTTCCGGCCTGGGAACCCAGGCAGCTCAGATGCCTGACTAACTCCTCCTCCACATCATCTCTTGAACACTTATTTCTCCAAAACTCGAAAGGGCCGCCTTCCCAGGGGCCTCCAGGTTACTCTGAGGTCTTAATGGATGGGAAGACTCAGGGATGGAACAGGTGTTCCTGGAGTCCATAGTGTTTTCAACAGGGAAAGCTACTTCCGGGAAAGGTTCTTCTCCCATTTCTGAGAAAATGTCCATTACCAGGTGTCTAAGGCCATCGGCCACATCCACGTTAAACGACTGTCTGGGGTCACGCAGGGCATTCCCGGGTGGTGGTCCAGATTCAGCCCAGGGTCACCCATTTCCCCCTAAAAACCCCAAGCCGGGGTCCCCCCCGAGTGGAGTCTGAGCTTGCCATGGGGGGCAATGGGAGGCCATTGCTGTTCTGTGGCCTCTGTAGGAGGAGGGGATTCGGGGCGAGCGCTGAGAAAGAGGGGGACCCCCGCCCCGCGAGCCCTCCCCGCCCGCACCCGCGGCCTGAGGGACGCCCGGCCCCTGTCAGGTGTTGCTCCCTCCCCGGCTGCTACTTCCGCTTCCGGGTGGAGCCCAGAGTCCCAGCTGCTCATGTCCACCCTCCCGGGAAGGCCGCGGGCCCGGGCGCGCGCGGGGCGGCCGGCGTGGGAAGCCGAGGAGGAGCCGGGGGGCCCCCGGGGCGGGGGTCCCGGTCACCGTGACGCGCGCGGACGGGGCCCGCCCTCACCCGGAGGCGCCCGGACGTGGCCGCGACCCCTCGCCCCGGCGCGGCCCCCTCCGCCGCGAGCGCGCGCCCCGGGCCGCACGGGGTCCACACGCCCCCACGCGCGCGGGCCCGGCCCCGGGGCGCCTCGGGCCTGAGGGGCGGGATCACTTCCTTCCGCCCCGAGGCCGCCCCGCGGGGCCGGGGTCGGGGGTCGGGGGTCGGGGTCAGGGTCAGGGCCGGGGTCGCGCCCCCGCCGCCCTCGGGGCCCGCCCCGCCCCTCACGGCCCCGCCGCCCGGCGCACGTGCCGGGTGACAGGCCCCCTATAGGTTCCATACCTGCCGCCGGAAGTGAGTGAGGAGGGCAGTATAGGCATTTCCTGTGACGCCAGCGCCTGGACTCCATTAGGCAGCAGCTGGGGGAAGAATCAACACACCGGGGAGCGGAGCGCAGCGGAGCCGAGCACAGAGGCGGCAGCTGCCTCGCTGCCGCCCGCCCGCCCGCCGCCCGCCGCCCGCCGCCCCGCCGCGACCCCCGGGCCCAGCCCCGCGGCGCCCCCGCCGCCGCCGCCCCGCCGCGACCCCCGGGCCGCGCACCCCGACGAGCTGCCTCCGGGAGGGGGGGGGGAAAGGGCCCGGATCCTCCTTCTCCCCCTCCTCCTCCTCCTCCTCCTCCTCCTCGCCCCTCGCCCCTCCTCCCCGCTCCCTTGACCCCCGCCCGGCCCCGCACCCCGACCCCCGCCCGCCCCCGCCTCCCTCCCCGCCCCCCGCCCCCGCCTCGCCCCCCTCCGGCTTCCCACCACGGCCTCTCTCGGCGAGGAAACTCTGGCCTCCGCTTCCTCCTCCTCCGACTCGGACACCGGCGGAGCCTCCCCGCCCCCGCGGAAGAAACCCCGAGCCTCGGCGGCGGCGGAGGGGGCAGGAGAGCCCGGGGCCTCGGCGAGCCGCGCAGGCCTCTCCCCGCCGTCCTCGTCCTCCTCGTCGTCCTCCTCCTCCTCCTCCTCCTCGGTGGTGGTAGTGGTGGGACTCCCCCCGGCCGCCCCTCCCGCCGCCGCCCCGCACCGGAGTAGCGGCGGCCACAGCCTGGTCGGCGGCGGCATCATGCAGGCCAACGGGGCAGGAGGAGGAGGAGGCGGCGGCGGCGGCGGCGGCGGCGGCCCGGGACCGCAGACCCAGGAGCTCGCCTGCCTGGCGGCCCAGAACGGGGAGTCGTCGTCGTCGTCCCCGTCGCCGTCGCCGTCGTCCGCGGGGGACCTGGCCCACGCCAACGGGCTGCTGCCCGCCGCCCCGGCCGCCGCCGCCGCCGCCAGCAACAATAGCACCAGCCTGAGCGTCAATAACGGGGTCCCCGGCGGGGCCGCCGCCACCACCGCCGCCGCCGCCGCGGCCCTGGCCACCCCGGACCTGGGCAGCAGCCTCAAGAAGAAGAAGCGGCTGTCCCAGTCGGACGAGGACGTCATCAGGCTCATAGGACAGCACCTGAACGGCTTAGGGCTCAAGTAAGTCGTCTCTGCAAGGCGGGCCGGTGCGGACGGACAAGGGGACAGAGGGGCCGGGGGAGGGGGCTGCCGGGGAGCCCCGGAGGGAGGACCGCTGCCTGCCGGGCACGCGGGGCCCGGGACCCTGGAGGGAGGGGGACATGCATCGGATGGGCCGGGCCCGGTGGGGGGATTGGGGAAGGGGGTCCTAGAAACCGAGAGATTACACCCCGATACACACACACACACACACACACACACTCACTCCCCGCACACCTGGGGAGCCCGATTGCCAGCCAGGGCCTGCGGAGGGTGCCTGTGCGGGTGTGTGCGGTGGGGGAAGGGTGGGGGGAGCTGGTGGAAAGAATGAACCTCGGAGGAGGATTTGTTTTTCGCCCATCTCAGAGGCATCTTTGTGGGACGCCTCCCCCCCACCCCACCCCACCCCCAGCCGTGACGGACCAGCCAGGCCAGCTAGCCAATCGGGAGGGACGATCGCCTACAAGTGTTTATGGGAACCGAGGGGCTGGGACCTGCGGGGAGGAGGGCGTCCCGAAGGCAGATGCCAGGCGGATGTCACGGAGGGAGAGGCCCTGTCCCAGAGGCCTGCCACTGGCTCGACCGGAACCCCAATTTAACACCGAGGGGTGATTTGCCTCTGGAAGAGGGACATCTGACCTGGTGAATCATTTATTTCCCGGCGCGATGGAGGTGGCCTCCGGCACCTGAAGTGGGGTGAAGGGAGACAGCGACCTTGGCCCCAAACCACCGTTTTGTGTACACACACAGAGAAAGGAGGGGATGGGAGGTGGGGGTGCTGAGGAGGAAAACATGCCACTGCATTTCCTAGCTCCAGTGTCGATTAAAATAAGCTCCGATGCTAGCCCCTGGTGGGGTTTGGGGGTCACAGGTTCCTTCTGGGGGGGTGGGGAAGCACTTTTTTAGGGTGACACAAGGATTTTGATTCTCGGGCAGATGGTTGGTTGCACTGTTCAGCTGAAAAGTAAATGGGGCTGAACAAGCAAACACTGACACATAAACAAACATGTAAGACTGATAAAGGAAGACTCTTAGGTGTCAACATATCTAACCCGCTTCTGATGAGCCTTTTATGCTTTCAAAGAGAAATATAGGAAGATTTTCACTTTTTTTTTTTTTTTTTTTTTTTCGCCAGAAGGAAAAGGAATTAGTATGAAAAGAGGTTTTGTAGATGCTAACGTCTTACTGAGACCAGCAGCAAGCTGACAGCAGCAGGAGGAAATAACTCGTGACTGTTTGGAACCTACACCATAGTAAATTTGCTATTTTTAGTCTAGAGAGAAAGGGGATGATTTTTGATGCTGGATTGATTTCCATTTTAAAGACTGACCTACTAGCATTTCTATGCAAACGTGGTGCCTGGATGTAGGACTCTCCCCTAATGGCAGGTCCTGGCTATGGCCTTGTATGGAGCTGACATGTTTTATCTTATGAAATGGACCAGGGTTAGTGGTAGATCCTGGCGTGTGTGTTTTCCACTTCTTTAACCAATTGGTTACAGCATGTTTTTAGGAATTTATACTTCATTTAAGCTTCTGATGCATTAAATGGCAGAAGTAGGAAGAACTTGCTTTGATTCAAGTTTCCGGAAGGTTTTTAACTTAACTAGATGCAAATGACGGTGGCAGTTCACAAATCAGGTTGGTTTAGCCAAGCACATGAAAGCTCTGTATTTCTTTTTTCTTCCTGAGATCAGTTTTAAGAACTTTTGCAACTGTTTTCGTAGACGTTAGCTTGTTTGGAAGAGTAAACCTGAACGTGGTCAGGTCGTTTTTACACTGTATCTCTCCTGCAGCCAGACTGTTGATCTCCTCATGCAAGAGTCAGGATGTCGTTTAGAACATCCTTCTGCCACCAAATTCCGAAATCATGTCATGGAAGGAGACTGGGATAAGGTAAAGTGGGGCCTGTAGGGCTGTGTGACTGCTGCTAACATTGTGTATCTGACGTGCATGCGGTGACATTTCTGTTTTTCTCTTACGCCACTTTTTGCAGGCAGAAAATGACCTGAATGAACTAAAGCCTTTAGTGCATTCTCCTCATGCTATTGTGGTAAGAAGCGCACTTGAAATCTCTCAAACGTTGTTGGGAATAATTGTGGTAAATACACTTTTGTTCTTAGTTTCACATCTATGCTTATGTTAATAGGTTATTGCTAACTCTAGGCTTCTGCCTCTTATAAAAGATAAGGCCTAAAAGGAATTAAATTTCGTATAACTAAACTTGTAACCTAAGATGAGTGTTTATGATGTGCTGAAGTTTGAGCTCTGTATTTTTAAAATCATGTTTCATAAGTGTGTCTTTTGAACCTAACTTACAAATGAAGCGCAACACAAAATTATATTGAAAGACCATGCTTTTAGTGCTGTTTCATAGGAGTTCTATACTTCTAGAACCAAGGATAAATTATACTTTTAAAATATATTAAAATATTATTTAAAATACTGAATGTGCTGGTAAAGAATGTACTTGGGTTATGTATGTCTATAGGCCTTAAGTAGCTGACACTAATTTTTTTCCATCTTTGGCAATTATAATTATAGTCCATTCAAACCAACTCGATGGTGCGCTCACCATTTTCCATTCTTGCATTCCAGTTGTGTGAATTGACAGTGTCAAAGTTTGTCTAACATGTATGACTCTGGTGGAGGGTTTGTATGTGTATCTGACCATTGGGTTCTGCTTACTGGCCTTATTTCCCCAACAAGATCAATTCAGTAGTTTACTTGTTAGCCTCTTTCATAAATCTTAAGGAATCCTTTATACTGGTAGGCTTTAATTCTTCAGTAGACATTGCTGAGAGAGAGGAGGGAATACAATTTTTTCTAAGTGCTTGTGATTGGAAACCATGAAGAATCAGCTGCTTGGCCTCTTCCTGCTGGCTTTCTTACTTCTAGCTGATTGATTTGTTGTCAGAAGCAGTTTCCGGTCTGGTGGGGGAGGGACAAGGGTGAATAGGAAGTGAAGTAAGGAAACCAGCTGTTTGTTAAATATTAGTAAATGAGTGTTACTTTAGTTGTTTTTTTTAAGTTGGGTCAAACATCGATCTTTCTGCCTTTTTCTGTAAACCTAGCAGAGTCTCCTGGTTTTCTTTTTTGGGTTTTTAAAACAAATCTTAATTATAAAAGTTTTCAAATTCTTAATGTGATTTTATACAATTATATAATCCTAGAGAAAGGCCTTCAGATGAATTAAAGGTGCAAACAAATATGAACAAATACTGGTTCATTTAAATTGTCTTCATATTATCTTTTTTCTCTTATTAAGTATTTAAAATACTAAAATTTTAACTTGCTATTATTGAATCAGATGGTTGATAACTAATTAACTCATGGAATAATCAATTCCATGGTCAGTTTTTAAAATGAAAACACAGAAGTTAAAATAAATAAACATCTATATTCAAAAGGATTACAAATTTTCCAATGACTAAATTTCCCCCAATTAGTGTGTTTGGAGCTTTAAAAAGAAAAACAGCTAAGCATATTTTAACTGGCCAGCTTTTCATAAATTGTTAGCTCTGATGGAATGGAAGGTGACCCTAAAATAAAATCAAGGCATCTCAAGCCAAAATAAGAATCGGGGTTCTTTTCCCATCAGACGAGCTAGCACTGCTTCTATGGTGACAGTCATGAACTTGCCCATGGACTGTTTTAAAATAAGGATGTGATTTTTTGGGGGACTGTTTTCCTTTTTTAAGCTTCACCCAAATTATATCTGTAATTTAGTAGTAAAAATTTGCATAGGCTCACTTCCTCTTTTCCTTAGGTTTTTATAGTAATTTGAGACTGCTGTATTGGATTTAGATGATTACTGTATCTCATTAGAAACCTTCATTAGAACAACATGTTAACTGACTAAAGGTAGTTGTAGATAATAAGGAGGAATCCTTTCTTTTTGCAGCCTGTTCAGTCTGTAGAACATTCTAGGATCTAATAAAAGATGAAGATTAAATCTCTGGCTGAGCCTCACGCCATCAAACTGTTTAGGTATTTATTACAAAGAAAGGGGTTCCCGTTTTTATCTTACTTTAAGCATTGATGAATCAATTGCTTTTAAAAATGCAGTTCAGCATTTTTTTCCACCTTTCTACGTATGTTTAGTTTGACTCCTCTCCCCTCTTCCAGAAGATAATCTAATGTAAGCATGAGTTTGTAGTAATGTCTTAGAAGACAACTATGTGGTGGGGTTTTGTTTTGTTTTTTTTAACATAATTAATTTAACTGTATAGCCAGACACACTTGATGACTTAGTCTAGAATAAAATTGTATTTTACTTTTTAAACCTGAATGTGTTCATTGACCTAATTGCACTTCCCTTTTCCTACCCCCATATTTTTAAATTGTTTCCAATCAATTAATACTAGAAATAGCAGAATTTGCTCTGGATTTTCTAGAAGCTGAGCTCATGAATCAACATATTTTTAGTTTGGGTTCAAATATGCTTAGCCATGTCTGAGGAATTGGGTGGATACTTGAGGTCAATAACATAAAAACAAAAACAAAAAATCCTATATGTCTAAAAATATGTTTGATTCTTTATTTTTCAATATAATAGAAATATGCTTAACAAAACAGTTCAAATATTAATGTGCAAAAATGAAGTAGTTTATTTTAAAGTCAAATAGGGAGGAGTTTTAAGAGCCAAGGTTTAAATATAATTCATTTCCCCTTTCCTCTGAGTCATTTAATTGATATAACTTGGTTAAAACCTTGTTCCAGAGTTAGTCAGAACCACTACTAAGTTGGCTAAGAGGCTGTTCTTGATAAACAGACTTCCTGTGTATCGTAACTTTTGAGTTCTTTTTTTTCTCCCTCACATTGAGTTCAATGTCATTATATGGGAAGAAAGGATAAACCAATACAGATATTGGGTAGACAACGGCCAGATTTACCATATGAAACTACCTTTTAAGCTGTCCTGTTTACTTATCAATTTCAAGTTTATGTTAGATAGCAAAGAAAGAAACTGCTGGACCCAAAGACACCAGAAATAATCTAAAAAATTAGGAGTTGGGGAAACAGAGAGGAGAGTGCGCTTTCTCTTCTTTTGTTTGTTTCTTCATTTTACAAAACCAGGCGCAAAGCCCTGATCCCATGTTTCAGCAGACTCAGTAAATAATTTAACATCATTTTTGAAAGGTATTTATTTTCTTGAAAAACTAGATTTGCATTTTTGTGCCTTAAATTTTGGGAAGTGAAATGCAGTTTTACTCGCCATCCTTATCATGTGCATCAGTGTTTTCTCTCTCAACCACGTCTCTGTCTGTGCTGAGTCAGCAGCATGTTCTTTGCCATGTGCACCACCAAGATTTGATACCAGTTTCAGGATATTCTTTGTCTTAATCTGGGTAAAGTGACTCAGAGAACCGCTCTTGCACTGCTTTTATGGCATTCCCTGTATCCGGAAAATCGTGTTTATGTTGGCTTCTCTGCCTTCCTCTTCTCTCCTCCTCTGCCTCTGCCCCATAGAAAGAGAATAACTTGTTCTAGCAGGATCTTGGTGGGAAAATAAGGGGAAAATAGCACTTGGGACACTGTCCCTGCACACATTGGAATGGGAAAGAGGGTGTGCCTAGGACCTCATGATTGATACCCAATAAATAAATTAATTAAAAATTTGCCTTGAATTAAAAAAAGTTTTCCCCAAATTCCCAATTGTTAAGAAAACTTAATGAAGAAATGAAATGCAAATGCTGACACAGCTTCATGTGGCATTTAAATTTAAAAATTCTATAACAAAATATTCTCAAATTTGAATTGAAAACACTGTGATACAAAATTTTTATTAGTTTACTGATAAATGAAAATATATGAACTCTTCACTTCATAAAGAGTTGAAATTTTTTTAAAAGGATAAAATGGTGAGAATATCTAGAATTAACTTCAAATATATTTTGATTTTTTAGATTGCTTTGTTTGATTTAGTCTTCTGTTTTTGTTTTTTGTCACCTGATGGACTTCACAGTATTTTTTAATTGGGTATATAAAAGTGAACTTACAGTTGCATGCACAGCAACACTTTTTAGAGCATCTTAGAAACTAATCTGTTTCTGAAACGCTCATTTAGTCAGTGTAACTTTTGTGTAAAATTTGGTAAGTGTAATTTTTCTAGAGTGATAGGAGCTTATCTCATAGTTGGAAATTTTTCCTATTGGTCTTTAGCTATAGTTTAAGATTAGATTATTACCAAGCATAAGCAATGTATCTTATAGAAGATGTATTTAAATGTATGCCTGACTTATATGAGAGGGTTTGTTTTTGTTTATTTTATCAGCTGGTAGGTTATGTCTTTCTTCTAAATGTTCCCTAATATAAAATCTTGAAGAGCAGTTATATGATAATTTCTTCAAATCATTTTTTGAGAGAAGTATATTTTAATGTGTTTAAAGTAAGCATTAAATGCTTTTTAAAGTAAGCGGATTTGAGATTTTTACCACTGTCTCTTGGATTCTCTAAATATAACTAACATTTCCTATCTACTAACAAAGTTCTCTATGTATATCAGTTGGCTTGCAAGCTTCCCCAGTAGCAGATATAATGATAGTCCCTCTAAGCAGTGTTCTTAATTAGGTTTAAGGTTTAAAAGAAATTCCAAACTAGATATTCATAAATCTTTTTCTAGCAAAAAGCTGCTAAGATTTTTCAAGTTATTTCCCATCACTTTTAAGTTAAAATAATATAGTAAAGGAACATTAGAAAATACTAAAGCCTAGCACATTTCAGAATAAAAAACAACAACTAACTGTGAAAGTATTCCATAAGTTGGAAATGGTTTATCCTTTAAAGGGAAGGAGCTGATAATTGTCTGTGCTTCATAGTTAAGGGTATCAGTGATTAGATTGTTTCCAACCTGCAAAGACAGATATTGAATCTTTTAAAACCTTGGCGTTGAACCTTTTCTTGTCTTCAGAGTGAGTCCCATCAGATTGATGCTTGTCCACTTCAGTTCTAGGAAGCTCAGTCCTTTGTACACCAACCTTTAGTCCACTTGCTGGGCAGCTCTTCTTACTTTTAATGAACCAAAATCTGACACTTTGCAACTTCCACCTCATAGCTCTAGTTCTGCTTTCTGGTCTACTTAGTCCTTCTTCCATAGTGTGCTAAGTAATCCCTTCTTTAATGGAATTTTCTGTTTTTTCCAAAACCTGTTCCCTAAAATGTTCCCACTGCCCATTATAAAAGTCCCAGGCTTTTTTTTAGAAAGAAAATTTACAATACTGTAAATAGTTCTAAATTTTTATAGAAGAAATAAAATTCTAGGTGAATGTTTTGAGGGCAGAATTCATTCTTACCTGTTTTGATGTCATTAATGATCATATCTAATTTGAGATTATTCAAAACTGTTGTGTTAAGACATGGGATTGAGCAAAGTCACATTTAATGAATATACTGTGACCCCATTAAACCCAAATATTTTGAGTCATATTAAAACTTTTAAAGAAGTGATTGTCAAAGGGCGTAGTAGAATGGTTTCTACTGTTCTGTTTAGGCACAAACATTTTCTGAACCTTCCATCGACTTTTTTCCCCTGACTGCTGCTTTCTGTCATGTCAGAGGATGAAGTTTTTGCTGCTGCAGCAGAAGTACCTGGAATACCTGGAGGATGGCAAGGTCCTGGAGGCCCTTCAAGTTCTGCGCTGTGAATTGACGCCACTGAAATACAATACGGAGCGCATTCATGTTCTCAGCGGGTAAGGAGGCCTCGTCCTTAGGCTCTGGGGGTATGGAGGGCTGTGACTCTTACCAAGGTCAGCTTCCAAAGCTACATCTCTGACGTTTTTCCAAGATCTGAATATTGCTAAATTCTTAGGTAACACTAACCTGATAGATTCACGTACGGGTGTACCCCATATTAGAATAGAGAAATGTTTAGGTGGGTAAAAGGAGGAAGAAATATGTATTGCTCGTGAAAGACTATTTCAGAATCAAAAAAACAAACTAAATATGAAGGTATTTCATAAGTTGGAAATGGTTTATCCATTGAAGTTTCCAGAATTAATGTGCGTATATATATATTTCTTTTAATATATGTTATTGAGTTTTTACAGAGGGGGAGAGAGAGGGTAGAGAGTTAGAAACATCGATGAGAGAGAAACATTGATCAGCTGCCTCATGTACAACCCCTACTGGGGATGTGCCCAAACCTTTCAGTCCGCAGGCCGACTCTCTGTCTGCTGAGCCAAACCAGTTTGGGCCGTATATTCTCTTAATGTACACTTATCATGTACCAGGTTCTTGCTAAGCACTTCATATGTGCAATCTCGTTTTATTTTCATGTCAGTCCTTTAGAAGTTAGAGTGCCCAAAGGCTTGGTTCTGGACCTCCTTTCTGTTCTGTCTAAACACTCTTCCAAGGCACCCTCATTTTGTACCATGCCTTCGCGTACCATCGATATGCCGGTGGCTCTGACCTCCCAGCGTACATGTCTGATGGCTACTTGACAGTCTCCGTTCGGCTAATAGGCGCCTCAGTTAACTGTTCAAAACAAAATTCTTGATTCCAGTTGCCCATCCACCCACTTCACTCTCACTGACCTGTTCCTCATTTCAATAAGTGGTAAGACCTTTACCCACTTGTTCAGACAAAAAACTTAAGCCTCGTCCTTTTTACTTTTCAAATTACAAGAGAAAGTTGGTTTAGAAAATTCTAGAGGTGGGAAAAGTGGGCCAGCTGGGCTGCATAAGCTGGGAAAACAAGTTACAGAGGCAGAAAAGGGACCTGGAATTTAGGAGAGAAAGGCAAGGATAATGCCCGGGAGCGTGGGAAAGAAGGCAGGAAAGGGCCTAACTCTGAAACATCCCGGGTCTCCGTTTCTCTCACCTCCACATTTCTACCCGAGGTAAGCCATCAGCGCCTCTCCCTCCCTTAACTGCATATTCCACACAGCAGCCACAGAGACACCTAAGCAAAGCCGTCTATGAACCCATAAAACTGTCCCCTGGCTCTCTGGCAGGCTTAAAATGCGGAAACTCTGCCCCAGCCCACAAGGCCTGATCCTTCCCTGCCATCCGGGCCCTCACTCACTGCTGCAGTGACACTAACGTTAAGGCGTTTATCCTGCCTGTTCACTTCCTAGATGCTCTTCCCTAATCTCTGCAGAGTTGGCTCAGGTCCCCACCCAAATATCTGCTCCTAAGACCACCACCAGGCATTCTCTGTCACATCGCTCTTTATAGCATTTTTCGTTACATGACATGGCCCCTGCATCTAAAACAGGGTGGGGAGTGGCCAGCCCTCAAACCATATAAATAGGCCCGTGAAATCATTTGGTCTGGCCGTGCGACCACAGGTGGGACTCAAATTCAGTGAATCGGGGGGCTTTTTTCATAGCAACATAAATTTATATTAAGCAAACGATGTTATAAATACCCAAATGGCCCTGGGCAGAAAAAGGGTTCCCCACCCCTGATCTAGAGCAATAACTCACACATAATGAGTTTTCAAATATATATGGATAGGGTTCATGAGTCCAGAACATTTAGGAATACTCTACATCTTGAAATAGTCAGTTCTGCTGGATGTTTCAGTTTTGTACCTTACCGTATTCGGATTACCTGTTTCAGAGGTGTCTGATTTCTGTGTCGCCTGAGTGCCATTCCCATGGTGGACTTGCCTACAGATTAGCCGTAGCGGTTTTCTTCTGCAGTGAGCTTCTAGGCGTGGCCCTAGACTGTCGCACACAAGTAAGAGGCCCAGCGGTGATAAAACGTGGAGCTGACGTCATAACTCGGTCCAGTGTTTTCAGTTATGCCATGTGACTTCCTTTGAAACCTTAAGGTGTAATATTTTCAAAAGGGCGAAAAAGCCGTTGTAGGTTACTTCTACAAAATTTAAAAAGTAAATGATTTTCTCAGAATTATTGATAATAAATTTTACTCCCAAAAGGATAAACCATAATTTTTACAACATCCAGCTTAAATGTAATTACTCATACAGTTTTTTAAAAATTAAATTCTCATCAGCTAAGGCACTGTATACTGAACAGCAAGAGACGTAGTTCTGTTGCTGGGTGAAAGGCTATTAATTGATTTAAATGCCAAGTGCAATATGCCTTATGCGGTTAAGAAAAGGAGGAGCGATACTTGGGTTAACTGAGAGGTTTCTGGTACTTTCATTATCACATAGTAAGCTCTGTGTGTACCAGGTAGTGGACCGAGTACTTCATATGCTCATACTCCATCTCATTAATCCTGACTGCCTTGTTCCAGCCCCTCTACAAGTGAGAAGGACAGATTTGTCTGAGAACAGACAACAAATAGCAGGAGACTTATGGCCAGGCCTCACCTCCATGTTTAAATAATGCCTTCGCTTCTTTTACTTTTAAAGCCCGTTCTGAGAAGAGGCAGGACCAGATCAGGGTCACACTTCCAGCAGGGGCTCTCATGTGTTCTCCAGAGCCCATGCACTTAGCGCTATGCCTCCTGCGGCACAGATAGTGAGGAAGGAGCCCTTCCCAAATGTCCCGCTTTGGGATCGCGGTACCTTTCGCAGGATGGCACAAGGATGGGTGTCCATTATACCATTTCTTGAGTGACGTTTTGATAATCTCTTAAAGGTATGTTGCTCTGTTTAATTAGCTTAGTAACTTTTAAGGCTTTGTTTTGAATTAGCAGTGAGAAGCTGTTAAGTTAGCATGGTGGTTAAGAGCGAGGTCTGCAGCTAGTGTCTGGATTCATGTTCCTACTTTGCCTCTTAACTTGACCCTGAGTCTGTGACTTAAGCTCTTTGTCTTCAATTCCTCATTTATAAAATTAGAATAATAGGGCATACTTCATACAGGATTGTTATGAGCATTAAATGAAGTAATAATAGATGTTGAGTGCTTAGAACAGAGCCTGGCACACAATAAGAGCTATATATAGATAACGATTACAATATATATAAGAATGTGTTCGCAGATAATACATATTATAATAACATGTATTTAGCTATTTCTGTTATATTACATTTCTTAATTATATCCAGATGCCAGGTTGTATTGATGAGCTGGGTCCACTCCAGAACAACTTCTTGATCAGTGTTTCTTAGTAGGAACTAGCTATCTTGAGTAGCATCAGTTTTTTTCAATTGTTTCTAATCCAGAGAGAAGGACTTGCTATTCGGTTCTTTCCCTGTGGTATTTGTAGGTATCTGATGTGTAGCCACGCAGACGACCTCCGTGCGAAAGCAGAATGGGAAGGCAAAGGAACAGCTTCCCGATCCAAACTGTTGGACAAACTTCAAAGTAAGAGTCTTAATTTGTTGGTGTCTCTGCACTTGTCCTTAGAGAGAAACAGGTATGTGAGTCAATGAGGAGGGCTTGTGTCTGGACACACACTCATTGAATGTTATTTAGGGGAAGGTTGTAGCGAGGTCCATCAAGAGAACCCTGTGAAGCCGAGGTTTCCAGCTCTGCCATGGAGTCCAAGAAGCTAACCTCCGCAGACAGTGAGAGGGTGCTGGTCCCTTTCATTGGTTTTATGTAGCGATGCTCCCCATAAGATTCTGTTGTGTGGAAAGAGCTGTGGTCAGGCAGAAAATAATGTAAGCCACAGCTGTCAACCAGGAGTGTTGTAAATATTGTGTTTTCAATGAGAAGGCCCGGATTTCTTCTGTAAATTGTTTTACCCTCTCCTCAGCTATGTTCTGTGGCTTCCAATTTGGGGTAAGGGTTTCATTTTTGCCACATCTGTATATAAAAGACCTTTCCCTCTGTGCTTACGTCATGTTACTCTTTATACTTCATGGTGATCTGAGAACAGAGATCCTAAGAATCAGAAAACCATGTGACTAGGAGGTATAAGACATTAAAGGATCAGAATAGATTGGTATCAGTATCAAAATACCAGTTATACTTCTTGAATTTTCATTGGCATTAGAAGCAAATAGAATTAGGCTTGTTCCAGGATTTTGACTTGTTCTTTGTTAACTGGATTTTTTTCTTATACTTTTAGTGATGAATAGTCTCCCTCTCACACATTATCTTTAATTTTGTTTCCATTGTTACCACCTTTTCTTTTCCTTAATTTTTTAAGTATTTACATTGATTTCAGAGAGGAAGGGAGAGGGGAAGAGCGATAGAAACATCGATGATGAGAATCATTGACCAGCTGCCTCCCGCACGCCCCCTGTTGAGGATCGAGCCTGGGCATATGCCCTGACCAGGAATTGAACTGTGACCTCCTGGTTCATAGGTCAGCTATCAACCACTGAGCCACACCTGCCAGGTCACCTTTTTCTTTATTGATTTTTTTGTTTGTTGTTTAGAAGATCCACATAGTAAAGCCCTCCTGTTCAGGTATCTTCTGTTCTACTGGCAACACATCTGCAGACAAATAAGTATTCATTAAACTCATGTTACATTGCCCAGAACTGCTCTATTTAAGAACAATATCATTAGGGCAGAAGAAGAGTAACTATCTTATGTAAAAGTTTATCCTGTTTTGTTTTGTTTTGTTTTGTAATTTTTGTTTCTCTATTTAAAGCGTATTTGCCACCATCGGTGATGCTTCCCCCAAGGCGTTTACAGACTCTCCTGCGGCAGGCGGTAGAACTACAGAGGGATCGGTGCCTATATCACAATACCAAACTTGATAATAATCTAGATTCTGTGTCTCTGCTTATAGATCATGTTTGTAGCAGGTAAGAGGAAATTTAAATTCTGAAGTAGGCTAACATTTTTCAGGCTCAGATTGATCTTGAATAAGATGTTTCCGTTTTTAGTTTTGTCCTGTAGCTATAAAACAATTCGTGTCTGATTTAGCATCTGATCATAAGTAAAGCTAGAACTACTGAAGTTGAAAAGTAAGAAAAATGTGTATATGTTCATGATAGCAAACCACCCTGGAGAACTGAAGCTGGAAACCATGGGTGGTCATTTTCTTTCTCTCTCATTTTTTAGGAGCGGGTAAGGAACATTAGGTAAGAATGCCAGGGCCCAGAGCTTGCTGTCCCTATATGCCAGAGACCACTTAGTGGCTCTTTTTCTGGACATTATGGCTATTTTAACTTCGGCCCAAATTATTTCCTGCCCCAAAATACTTTTTCCTAATGCAAGTTCTGCTAAAAGTGGTTAGACTAACGGTGTTAACTTCCTGGTGTGGGTTTTGTTTTTATACCGACCTATGTACATTGTTTAACTTGTAAAAATTCAGGCTTCACTTTAGATGTTAGGACTATTTTGAATATAACTGTTCCTACTATTTTAGTAAACTCCAAAATGAAAACATGGCTTTTAATTTTTAAGATACTGAAAAAAACAAATTGTGAAATCTTTCAAACTCCAGGGAGGAGAGGATGGGGGGCTGGGGTACCAAATAGGAACAGCGGTAGTTCATGTGGTCAGTCTCTTCTCCAGACAACATGGAAGAACTGCTGGCAGGGGCATGGCTAGGAAGGACAGAAATACACAAGTGTGAGGGCTTTGGGAAACTGAGGAACTTCGGAATAACTCAAAATTACACACATGCACTGTGATTTACGCTAATTTTTTAATGCATAAGGTACTTTCACATGTAGTGAGTTCTCACTTCATTCTCCCTAGTTACAATAAAAAATAATAATTTATTTGCGCTATTGGCCTTAAATTTCAAGTGTTACTTAAAGTACTAGGTAATTACTTGGTGCATGTCTTAAATGTTCGAAAAGAAAATAATTAAAGATCCTTTTCCTTTATCTCTTTTTACTCTTTAACATTATTCTTTGACTTGGTAAGTCTTTCATTTAAATTGAATAGAGGTCGGAGGAGATAGATTAAAAGACTGTATGGTTTCTTATTTCATAGCTCCTTTAGGGAATTTGAGACCAGTGTTGAAAAGGCAGTTGTGAACCCAAATCTTTTCTTGGTTCTGGAGTTCATTGTTGGTGGAATGTACTGAAAGGTATTTATGGCAGACTTCATGATTCAAAAGTGTCAGTAGGTTAAGAGATTGCCTTCCTGTTGGGGAACTGAAATCTATGAGAGTGTGACCTACATTTTTCCTAGTGTTTGAACTTCTATACCAATACCTTTGAACGTAAATGATAGAAGATATTTGGTCTTCAAAAGAAAAGTCGATGTTTCTGATTATCTGTGGAGACATCCATTGATTGCTGCTGAAAAAAACTTTACTCCTTTTTAGAAACTATATTTTGGCATTGAAACTAGAAAACTACATTTTCATAAGCTAAATCTTAGCATTGAAATGAAATAGCAGCTCTTTTCTTTGGAAAATAGAAAATTGATTATGATTAAGTAAATTATAACTTTTTTTATAATCTTCACCCAAGGATATTTTTCCATTGATCTTTTGGAGATAGTGGAAGAGAGAGGGAAAGAGAGAAGCATCGATGTGAGAGAAACACATCGAATGGTTGCCTCCTGCATGAGTCCCAATCAGGGCCAGGGCTAGGGAGGAGTCTGCAACCAAGGTATGTGCCTATGACCAGAATCGAACCTGGGACCCTTTGGTCCGCATGCCGATGCTCTATTCACTGAGCCAGACTGGCTAGGTCTAAATTAGAACTTTTAGCCGAAACCGGTTTGGCTCAGTGGATAGAGCGTCGGTCTGTGGACTGAAAGATCCCAAGTTTGATTCCGGTCAAGGGCATGTACATTGGTTGCGGGCACATCCCCGGTGGGGGATGTGCAGGAGGCAGCTGGTCGATGTTTCTCTCTCATCGATGTTTCTGGGTCTCTATCTCTTTCCCTTCCTCTCTGTAAAAAATCTAAAATATATTTAATAAATAAATAAATAAATAAATAAGAACTTTTAAAATATCCTAATTAGTACATACCGTATTTTTCGGACCATAAGACGCTCCGGACCATAAGACGCACCAGTTTTTAGAGAAGGGAAATGAAGAAAAAAAGATTCTGAAACAAATAGTGCCCTAAAATATTTTATGTGCATTAAAACCCAACATCACAGTCATAAACACATGTAATCAACCCTGTAAAGTAAACAGCAGCATTTAGAACCATTTTAGAGCCGGGCAAGCACACAGACCACACAGAGCCGGGCAAGTAAAAAAACTTTTTTTAAAAAGTATATGTGTAGGCTATATTTGGACCATAAGACGCAGGGACTTTTTCCCCCCACTTCTGGGGGGGAAAAAGTGCGTCTTATGGTCCGAAAAATACGGTAATGGTTTTCATTAGATTATACATTATTTACATTTTTCACAGTTAATGTATACATATTTTTTGTTAAGTTTGACCAGTAAAGAATAGGGTTGCATTTTGTTTTGTTTTTTAATGACTTGGTGGGTTTTTTTCAGCAGCAATCAATGGATGTCTCCACAGATTGCTTTACAAATACTAATTTTTAAGTAAAGTATTATGTAAATATTTTATAGAAACTTAAAATGCTAAGGTTCAGTTTGATTAAAAAGCTACATTTTATTCAGTTTTATTTGGGAAGGTACTGATAATTTTAACACCATCTTAAATTTTTTTAATTTGTTGGGATACATAGGTAAGCTATCACTTGTATACATCCAAAATTAGTCTTTTAATAAGCAGGGAGCTATTAGTTTTTTTAAAAGATTAAGTAACGATAAAATAATGACAATTTACTATTTTAGTGACATTCATATGTAACTGATTGTCAATAGCCTGGATGATTAGTGCCCTGTAAAGTTTGTTTATTTTGAGAGAGTGTGTTAAAGCCAGAAGCAGTGATCAAAGGAGGGCTTAAGGGAGAAGAAACAACAGGGGAGCTGAGATGGTATTCTGTCTGCTTTGGCTCCCTAGAAACGGTAGGAAAGACGTGAGCCAAGGCCGAGCTGCTGTGGGCTCACATGGAAGTCAGAGAAAAGGGGGCTTGGAGGCAGGACCAAGGGACTTGCTCGGGACGAGCTGCCACTGCCCGCTGCTCTCCTAGTGGCAAGGCTCTGGGAATCCTTAGAGTTGAGGAGGAGGTAGAAAGTTCATGCCCAGGAAGGGGCCTGGGTGTGCTAGAGAGCAGCGGTCGCCAACCGAACCTCAAGGACCACCAGTGGGCGACGGCTGCTGTAGCGCAAGCCCACAGCAGGTCTTTGTTCTGAGGGGTTTATCTTTCTCCCGTGGGTGAGAATCTTGGGAGCATTTCGGCAGAATATTCAACAGCTTTCCAGGGGCGTTTTTAACTTGCTGATGCATCAAAATGAGCACATCGTTACTCTTTGGTCTGCTTTACTCGAGTTTTTGTTACTATATTTGTTCCCCTGACTTCATCTGTCCTTGGCGTTCAGCTCTGTGCCCTGTGGTTTTGATTGTGCATCAGTCCTTTTTTTTTTTTAAACAGAGGAAGGGAGAGGGAGAGAGTTAGAAACATCAATGAGAGAAACATCGATCAGTTGCCTCCTGCACACCCCCTACTGGGGATGTGCCCGCAACCAAGGTACATGCCCTTGACCGGAATCGAATTTGGGACCTTTCAGTCCACTGAGCCAAACCAGTCAGGACTGCATCAGTCCTTTTTAAAAATATTTTGCTACTCTTGATTTTAGATGTCTCTTAAAAAGAATAAATTGTAAATTTAACCAGATTTTGGGTTACTGATTTCCCCTAAGATTGCATTGACTAATGCATAATACCATCTTTTTTGACAAATCAATGTAAACTTGATTGTTAAGATTTACAAATGCGTTCATATCTTATTTTTTAAAGTTTTGGTCTCCAAAGAAGTTTTATCAGTTGTTTAACCTTTGTCATTATGATTAATCTGTTTTGAACGAATAATGATTTTTGGTCTTCTTTGTTTCAGGAGGCAGTTCCCATGTTATACGCAGCAGATCCTTACGGAGCATTGTAATGAAGTGTGGTTCTGTAAATTCTCTAACGATGGCACTAAACTAGCAACAGGATCAAAAGATACAACAGTCATCATATGGCAAGTTGATCCGGTATGTACTCTAGTATGAGTGTTTAGATTGCAAAGAGAGGTCATTTTCAATCTAATTGAGTACACATTTTTAATGTGTGCACATACAGATAATATTTCGCAAGAACCTCTTTTGTCATCTCTGTCATGTCCTACCTCTTTTTGTGTTGTCTAGATTATGGGTATGAAACTTATCAAAATTGTTGAGTGTGATATTCGAGTGATTGTAGTAAGTCTGTGTGTGCATTGTTTAATTTATTTCTCTGAATAACCCTCTGAGATACAAACATCTCTTTAAATGAGAAAACTGATACAGAAGCTAAATGTCCAGACTCTCACAGCAAGTAAATTGGAAGAGTTAGACTCAAATCCAGGAATGTTTTTTATTCCAGACCTGCTCTTAATGTCTTTTTTATCTCAGTTAAAATTTGATTTATGGGTTAATAAAGTATCCTTCTGTCACAAGTTAAAAAAGACTCATTACCATTTTGCCTTTTGAAATATTTCATTGTTTTGTATAATTTGTGGAACTTCTGTGAAACATACACACACCCCTTTTTATGTCAGTGATACATATGAACAGTATTGTATTCTGGATTTAAAATTCTAAGTTTTAAAATCAGATTTGTCATTGTGTGTAACCAGGTGACCTACAGATTTGTTGAAATAAGTATTTCCATTTTTTTCAGCCACTTGGACATTTATCAAGCAATCAAAGAAGTTCATGGCTCCAGATAGGTTAAGAAATGTATTTGGTTAGCAGTCCTTCACCTAAAATCATAAAGTGAATGGCCTTTAAAAAAAAAAAAAAATTAGAATTAGAATATATTAGCCCAGGATAAAGATCTTGGACTTCGATGTTGAAAAATAGAGAAAAGGATCCATAGAAGGAAATATTTTTTTAAAAAGAGATTCAAATTTGAGGACATACATCAAACTTGTGTATCTGTAATATGCTATGAATGAAGAAAGTAAGTAAGATCTAGTCTTTGCCTTAAAGCAGGTGTTCTTTAATTTTGTTGTACCATGTACTCTATCATTCTGATGACCTCGTTTTTAAATACATAAACCAAAACACATAGAAAGCCCAAGTGCATACTACATATCAATTACTAAGGAACCCAATTATAGTGAAACATAGTTATCAAAATAGTACAAAAACAGATACAGTATAATAATACATTGCTTGTTTATTAATATTTGAATAACAAATTATAATAGCAGATCTAATAACTACCAAAATTTTGAAGTAGGGATGAGCATAAGTAGTACTTTGAGATTTCTGCAACAACTATAATGATGGGAAAATATTTGAGACTTCCATTATTAACAGTGTACTAATATGTTACCTGATAATACTATCACTATACCTAAGTATCACACGATACACACACAGTTTTATGAGAGCACAGGAGCTTCCCGGGGAGAGCCCTTCATGTGAGCCTTGCTGTGTATCACAAGGAGAGACGGGAACAGGGCATTCTAGAAAGGGGAACGTTTCCTCACCCCCAAATATTATAAGAGAAGCATGAGTAGGTCAAAGAGAGGGAGATAAGGGTAGGAATCCAACCATGGCCTTTGAATTCTACTATTAAGAGCTGTGTGTGCAATTGGCAGTTATCCTCAGATCTCTGAAAAGAGCAACAATATCAAAGCTCTTCGGCTTTTTGCTAGCAGCAGTGTGTAAGAGCCGCTTTTGTTTGGACAGTAAGACATGTAAGTCTCAGGTGAAGAAGGAGTAATAATTATTTAGGCAAAGCTAGTTACAACTGGCCCTTGGTGAAAGAAAGCGTGGCAGAGCGTTTGGGCAGTTTGGGGAAGAGGCTTCGCAGACTGGGAAGTGAAGTTGATGAATTCAGCAGCGGCCAGATGAAGGGGCTCTTGTATACTTTGCTCAGAGATTCAGACTTCCTTCCAGTGCTGCCCAGAGTGCTTTGTCAGAATCCTGGTTGTGCAGAATGCTAATAGATGTTACGTGTGAAGGGCTTTTGTGGCCAGATCAGCTGGGAAATGTAGAGTTAATGCTTACATTTTAATCTGAGAAGTTGTGGGTTTAGTTTGGTGTAATGGTATTTTGCTATATCCAATACTATTTGAAACACTTGTGAGAAAATTGATGATCTTTTTGCATATGGGTTTTAATGGCTTAAAAAAAACAACTTAGAGAACCTTAAGATTTGAATTCCACTACCTAGTTTCTTTTAGCAGGTTTTCTTACCTTTGCTTCTAAAAACAAGAGTTTTTCCCATTTCCCCTGTCAAAATCTAAGCAAAGTTAAGTGGATTCCATGAACATGGTATTTCTACCTTGGATAGATTAGTATAGAGAGACTGTTCTTGTGAGAATATAATATTAATATCCTCTTTTTTTCAACTTTAGACCCAAGTCTGAAACATTGCTTTTTTTCCACCTCTAGTTAACTCCCTATATTTCCTGTCACATCCATCAATATGGAAGACAGAAATTGGAAGTTGTCTTTAAACATTTCTATCTCGTTCTGTTCTGTCAATTCTCTGTCCCAAGAATAATTTGATCCGACCTCTTCAGTCCCAATTGTGTTCATTTAGGGCATCATTTCTTAACTCTGGTTGTTGCATTGGCTTTTGAAGGGTGTCCTTATCCTGTGTCCCTTCATTCTGATTTGTCTTCTACAGTAGATTGTTGTGTGAGTTCTCTTCCTAAAGCCAAACATCATATATGTACTCCACAGCTAAAAAGTCTTGTGTCTCTCACTCAGGTTAAAATTTAAGCCCTGACCCTAAAATAAAGATGTCTAGGTCGTCACTTGCCACTCATGTTTGCTCTCTACAATTCATCCTGCACAGCTCAAGAGTATCTTGACTTGTTTAGAGTCATTCAACCCACGTTCCAATCCCTAGTTGTAAACAGAGGCAAGTTCAACCTTCTCTAAACCTTCATCTCCCTCTCTCTAGAGGGGGAGGAGAATACTTACCCGTCAGGTTTATGAGAATTAAATGAGATACTGATACATTCTACAACATGGGTGAACCCTGCAACCATGCCAAGTTAAAGAAGCCAACTACAGAGGCCACATGCTGTATGATTCATTTATATCAAATGCTCAGAACAGGCAAATCCATAGAGGAATGCAGTTGCCAGGGGAAGGGAAATGGTGAATAACTGAATAAACTAAACACCACTGACCAAAGACTGAATTTTAGGTATATATCTCAGTAAAGCTGTTTTAAAAAACAAGTAAGAGGTAGCACTTACTACTCCTGTTTTTCGTTTCCTTGAGAGCCCCCAAGGATATTGTCTATGTCATCTTCATGTTTCCATCTAGCACACATGTCCTGTGAAAGGTCCATGCTTAATCCATGTTGCAGCATGAACAAGTCTTTATGAAGCAAGCTTGTCAGAGCTTCAGGTGGGGTGAAATTGTGAAACCTCCTCAGATTGTATTATCAGAGTATGTCTTTGTAGCTATATAAAGTCTCATACCCACGAAACGGGCTTGAAGGATTGAACTAACCCAGCTGTCTGTTTCTCCTCCTAGGACACACACCTGTTAAAACTGCTTAAAACGTTAGAAGGACATGCTTATGGCGTTTCTTATATCGCGTGGAGTCCGGACGACAACTACCTTGTTGCTTGTGGCCCAGATGACTGTTCTGAGCTTTGGCTCTGGAATGTACAAGTGAGCAAGTTCCATCCGCGGTGTAGCCTTAAGTAAAGCATAGTCATCCTGCTCATTCTCACTCTGTGGACAAAATCACCATACTGTGCCTCTCACAAGCATAGTCATCCTGCTCATTCTCACTCTGTGGACAAAATCACCATACTGTGCCTCTCACAAGCATAGTCATCCTGCTCATTCTCACTCTGTGGACAAAATCACCATACTGTGCCTCTCACAAGCATAGTCATCCTGCTCATTCTCACTCTGTGGACAAAATCACCATACTGTGCCTCTCACAAGCATAGTCATCCTGCTCATTCTCACTCTGTGGACAAAATCACCATACTGTGCCTCTCACAAAAGGAGATGCTTCCCATGGGACCCGTGTCCAGAAATGTTACAAATTTAAAGATAGGCTAAGTATTAGAGTTTTTGGAAGAGTAGTCCATAATTCATGCTATTTACTGTGGTACTTTGTATCTCCAAAAAGATTTTATATTTCATAGTTTTCATAGTTATACACAAAACTTACCTTTCAAGTGTGAAGACATCAGCGTTAAATCAGATTTTCTATTCTAATGGCAATCGCACATCTCCCTCCCTGCATGGAAATGACTCAAAGATAGAGGACAAACTGAGTATTGAGATGTACCTAAAGATGATATGCCATAATTTTAATCCTGCTATGCAATGGTCGGCAAACTCATTAGTCCACAGAGCCAAATATCAACAGTACAATGATTGAAATTTCTTTTGAGAGCCATATTTTTTTAACTTAAACTTCTTCTAACACCACTTCTTCAACATAGACTTGCCCAGGCCGTAGTATTTTGTGGAAGAGCCACACTCAAGGGGCCAAAGAGTTGCATATGTGGCTCTCGAGCCTCAGTTTGCCCACCATGGTGCTATTTTATCAGTACAATTTTCTTATTGCTCAGTCGTTTACTTAAGTTTTAACCTCATCTTTTTATTAAAGAAATTTCTAAACATTAAGACAAGTTGAAAAAAGAGCCCAATGATCACCCATATGCCCACCGTTCTAGATTCAATAGTTGTGAACATTTGTGTGTACGTACATACACATACATACATACGGACAAATACGCATACATACACATTACACATATTTTCATATTCAAAACATGTCAAGGTAAGTTATATTTTACCCCTAAGTACTTAGCATGTATCTCAAAAAAAATAAATAAATAACATTCTCCTATATAACCAAGTGCCATTGTCTTACTGAAGAACATTAACTATAGTTCTCTGCTATCTAAGCTTAAATCCCAGATCATTCCCAAAGTGTCTTTATGCCATTTTTATCAAACCAGTATTGTATTTGGAGTTGAGTTCTGGGGGGAGGAGAGAGAGGGGGCAAGCACAAAATAGAATATATGGCTTTCTCAATAAAATAGGTTTAAAAGGAATCTGACCTAAACGATAAAAATTATTGCCATTAAAACTTTTTCCCCCCTCTCAAAAGCAGGGAAATGCAGTCATAATCCTGTAATAGAGACTCTTAACTTATAGCACCTGTGTAGTCTTCTTTTGAGTCAGTATTTTAATTTCTGGACAGTTAAACTATTTTTAGCTCAACTATTTTGCTGTACATGACTTTACATACTTGTTCTAAAAGGGTGGTCTTTTTTAGTCAGGTTTCAAATTGTTCCGTTAAATTTGTAGGTAGGTTCCAAATTATTAGCCTCATATACCTTACTCACTATCCTGAACATAATAGGAGAAAAAGCCATTCAGAACTTAGTGTATAAACTTATTCCTGGATAGAAAATGCCGAGGGTTTAGCTGTTGAATGTGTATTTGTGCTTCTAGACTTCTATTTTAACTGTTTATATCAGCCAACCCAAAAATAAATAGGTGAGAGCAGTTAACAGTATGGGGGAAGGATTTAAGATTGCTGAAGATTTTTTTCAGAGTAAGGGAGACATCTGGTTTTCTATTTTTGTGCCCTCATTTCCTGATCATACACTTTGTTTTCACTCTTTTTTTTTTTTTTTTTTTTTTTTACTTTTGATTACCCATTTCTCACAGGAAAATTATGCCCATGTACTTTTAATTATACCAAGGGCAGCTATTCTCTCTCAGATCCTGTTTCTAATTCATGAACAAAATGGAATCAAGACTAGATTAAATGGTATGTGTCTACCTTCTAAGTTGAATAACTTAGAAAAATAACAGGAGGATATCTGAAGGTTATAACCACTAAATAGCTTTGCTTGTAAGTTGGGAATGCTTTAGAATGGCTATTGCTAAATAGTACAGAAATCCCTCTCTTTTCTGTTACTTTTAGTGGAAGTAAAGCTACATATCAGAAAAATAATTTTCATTTCTCTTTTCCCATTTTCCGACTACATTTTGAGCATCTTGAATACGAAATTTAACACCGTTGGCCCAGTTAAAGGACATAGTTTTTCTACCTATTAGTGGTATTTCTGAGTAATATTTAAAATAAAACGTGGCCTGAGAAGTTGTGGAAACTCAGGAGTAGGTGTTCAGTGTTAAGACTTTTTATCTTACTTGGGAAAGATTCCATGTTTTAATTTATGAATGCAGTTGATTTAAGATAAGAATTTTATTGGAATTATCTCATCATAGCTGTTCTTTGGGTCACTGGTGCCAGGCATTGTTCAACTCCTGGATTTTTCTCTTGTGCTATAAGTATTTTTCATAAGCCTAATTTAAGAAAACTAAGCGGATATCCCAGTTAGTATTTTTTTTTTTTTTTTCTGTACACATTTTCTTTACAGAGGTATCTTGAAGGTCTTATTCTCAGTTTTCTTTCTTTGTAGACGGGAGAGCTAAGGACAAAAATGAGCCAGTCACATGAAGACAGTTTAACAAGTGTGGCGTGGAATCCAGATGGGAAACGCTTTGTAACCGGAGGTCAGCGTGGGCAGTTCTATCAGTGTGTGAGTATTTCGTTTTCCCTTTCAAATGTCCGCTTGTTCGAAAGCAAATTTAGTTTTGTTTGCTTCCTGAGTGATGGTGGTTTATTTTTAATGACCAAGGTCATTGTCATTTTCTCCTGCTCAGGACTTAGATGGTAATCTCCTTGACTCCTGGGAAGGTGTGAGAGTGCAATGCCTTTGGTGCTTGAGTGACGGGAAGACTGTTCTGGCATCAGATACACACCAGCGAATTCGAGGATATAACTTCGAGGACCTTACAGATAGGAACATGTAACTATTTTTTGTATTCATTAAACAACAATTATCTGGTTTATATTAAAATGGGTAGTTGAGCCCTCGCCGGTTTGGCTCAGTGGATAGAGCAAAATTTAACAACTGAACAGTCTCATGTTTGATTCTGGTCCAGGGCACATGCCTGGATTGGGGGCGTGGCCCCAGTGGACAGTGTGCAGGAGGCAGCCATTTGATGGTTCTCTTTCATTGATGTTTTTCTGTCTCTCCCTTCCTCTCTGAAATCAAAAATGTATTTTTTAAATATGTAGTGGAACTCGCTCTTTAGAAGAGTTTTTATGGATTTGATGTTCGTTAATTCTGGGGTGATTTGGATTGATGGTCAGGTGATGCTGAGTAATCAAGTCAAATTCTATTTCTTATATAATAATGACTACAGACAAAAGTATGATATTTAAACTGGAACATTTTACATTTTAGTAATTTGAATATCTTGATTCTTTGATTCCTAATATGTTGCTTTTGACAAATTGTTTTCTGGTTACAGAGTACAAGAAGATCATCCCATTATGTCTTTTACTATTTCAAAGAATGGCCGATTAGCTTTGTTAAATGTAGCAACTCAGGTAAGTTAGCTAATATGATCCTCAGAAAAATTTATCTTAGTTCTAATTTTAATTGTGATTTTTATTATAAATATAAACAAAACTATACCACTTATTAAGATTATACTACATGTGTTTGATCCTTACGTGCATAGAATCAACTCTAAATTTGTCAGAACATTGGCATTTTACATAAATAGAAAATGAAAATGTTCCATTAAGGAAAGGGATATTCACAGATTATTTTTTAAACTTTTTTTTGAGTTGGTGTAAGTAAATACCTGTATTCTCTTTTCTCTACAGGGAGTTCATTTATGGGACTTGCAAGACAGAGTTTTAGTAAGAAAGTATCAAGGTGTTACACAAGGGTTTTATACAATTCATTCATGTTTTGGAGGCCATAATGAAGACTTCATCGCTAGTGGCAGTGAAGGTAAATCATTTGTGTCACTATTCTTTCACATGTATTTTGCATTTAATGTTCTATAATTTTTCAATTTGTGAAGGTGGGCATGTCTCCATGCAAGTTCAGGTGTTAAATTTCAAATTATAGGAGTCATTCATCCAGTACACTGTTAATTTCTCCTTTTTTGGAATGACTTGAGTCTTGTCAGAAATCAATAGTGCCTGTTCTGACCATGTGTGTTCTCTAGAAGTGCTTTAATATGTATGGCTATCATTATCCTTAGTAATGCTATTTCTCCCCCCAGCTAACTCAGAACTAAGTCTGATGAATAATGTAGTTACACCACATTATATTCTGTGTAGGGCTAAACATGAAACGTGTTTATTTTGAACAGCATGTGGATGTAGTGAGTGTTTTATCTCCGAAGGTGACCACACTAATTCATTTGTCGCTTATTTATAAGGAATGTATTCCACAGACTTTCCAAATCCACAAGTGTGTGAGTGCCAGTATCAGGCAGAGCAGTTAGAAAACCTTTCCCCAAACACTGGGCCTCTTCCCTGTGCTGGCACACAGAGAGAACTGCTGGCTTTGTGCCTTTCGTTAGCTCTGGGTCCCGATCGGTGCAGCAGGCAGGGCTTGATCAGAGCTGTCGTTCTGGCCTAGACTGCTTGTTGCTGCACCTCGGAGAAATATCCTCCTTGGATGTACGTTCACAAAAGCATTTTCCTCCACGTGTAGCAGATTTTGTGCATTCACACTTTTCCAGCCTGTAATCTTTTCTCTCTCGTTGACTTTTTCAGTTCAAGAAGAAAAAACTAATCCGCTTTCTTTATTTTGCTATTTGCATTTTATGCAAGGAAAAAATGTTTTCGGAAATTAATGAACAAGTACTTTCTAGGAAAGACAAATGCAGTTCTTCAATGACTGTTGTAGCTTTTGCTTCACACACACACACACACACACACACACACAGTTCAGATAAGTCTCAGCTTTCCGTCTTTTCTTACAAGTTTTGAAACAATGGCATATTTCTACCTTTTCACAACTCAGACACTTCCTCCCCCTGCAAGTTCCCACATTGATCACACAGCTGGCCAGTAGATCCTCAGATTGAGCCCTTTCCTGATTTACCCTGGGGTTCTGCCTTCTGTTAAAGAACCACCACCTAAATCTGTTAACTCTTATGGTGATACATGATATTTACTGTGTGCTACTCTGTTCAAAACACCTTTCACATGCAAACTCCTCTGTCCTCAGACATGATGAGGAAGTGTGAATCCACAGTGAGAGGAAGAGTTGCAAAGAGTGGGCATTGTGCCACGGTTACATCGCTAGCCAGTGGTGCAGTCATCTGACCACAGAGCCCACACTCGGAACCACTGTTCTGTATCATTGGGTTGGGTGTTGGGTTTTTTCGTTTGGTTTTTTAAGGTTAGTTTTATCACAGAGTAACAAAGTTGTGGGGGTTTGGGTTTATGGTCATTTCGTGGGGTTATAATGATCTGACTACAGAGCCACATGATGGGACAGTTGCCTAGACTCACTGGTGAGGTCCTGAGCAGGGCCTCCGGACGGCAGTCACTATTAACCATGGGCAGGCTTCCTGAAAGAGCGGGAAGCATAGTACCCACCTCACAAGGGTGGTGAAGAGTAAGTCACATATATAAATTCAGAAAGTAATAACATGTATTTAGTACCTAGTACATTGTAAGCACTCAATAAAAATTGAGCTGCTGTTCTTAGTATTGCTGCTTTTGAATTTGGATACATTGCTTTTCTATGTCACCTCGCATTTCCATAGAATTTATCATCTCTAACCTCCATTTGTTTATATTCAAAGGCCTTGTCTATGGAAATGTATTACTCATGTATTACAGAATATTGCAAATAGATTGTGTGATTTGAGAGCTAATCACCTTTTAACGGGGGGAAATACCCGTATATTTTATTAAAATAGCTTTTCATAAGGTAATTTGTTAAATTGTTAATGTTACATTTATTCTTTTTAAATTCTGATAATCAAGCCATGTGTTCTGTGCATGCTGACGTTGGTTTTTTTTAATATATAACCACTTCATAACGGTTCTCTGAATCACTGTTGGTGCAGATCACAAGGTTTACATCTGGCACAAGCGCAGTGAGCTGCCAATCGCCGAGCTGACGGGGCACACACGCACAGTCAACTGTGTGAGCTGGAACCCACAGATGCCGTCCATGATGGCCAGCGCCTCAGACGATGGCACTGTCAGAATATGGGGACCAGCGCCGTTTCTAGACCACCAGGATATTGAAGGTAACACCACTGCCGGCTGCCCGGCTCCTCCCGATGAGCGGCCCTGCTTATTGGAAGGTTCTAGCAGTTTAAAGTGTGGGACCTCATTTACCTTCTCCTTTTATTGAGGTTGCACACTGACTCCTCATCTGGGGGTTAAGTCATCTAACATACAGTGTTGTCTTTGTAGTTTCATTGCTGACAGTGGGGAGAACACGCTAGAACATGCCACCTCATTTACATCTAGTTAGTGTTGTCACTTTTAAATCTGAGGGAAATCTTGAAGCATTTTATACTTAAAACTCATGAGAACGAGCTAGTACACAAAATGTGAGCAACTGTAGAATGATCTTTTTTTTTTAATATATTTTTATTGATTTTGTACAGAGAGGAAGGGAGAGAGATAGTTAGAAACATAGATGAGAGAGTGTCATCGATCAGCTGCCTCTTGCACACACCCCCTACTGGGGATATGCCCGCAACCAAGGTACATGCCCTTGACCAGAATCGAACCCGGGACCCTTCAGTCTCTAAGCCAACGCTCTATCCACTGAGCCAAACCGGTCTCAGCTGTAGAATGATCTTGATTATAGATTTTACCCTTAAAAATAAACATCAGTTAATAGCATGTAGCCTGCTAGCATGAGCTAGGCATGATGGGTAGAGAAAGGGAAGGGAATTACTAAAATACATCGTGTACCTGGTGCCAAGCAGCATGCTAGGCTTGTCTTCAGTGTCCCCCGTAAGACAGCCAAGGCCCTAACAGAGCAGTGTTCTCCCCCGTAAGACCCACATCTGGGCCTGGAAGGCGGTTCCCACAGCGTCAGGCACTTGGAGGTGAAGAAAGAGCTTCGCTGAGCCAGGATGTCAGAGAGAAGAGGTAACGAGGAATTTCTGTAAACGACAGAACCCTCCTTTTCCAAACAGTGAGTCAAATATTTAGTTCGCTTCGAAGGAGCTAATTTGCCCAGAAGCAGATTGCTTTGTTCATAGTGGGTCCCACTCAAGTGTCTGAGGAGGAAAGATGACCAGCTGCTCGCAGCTCAGTGATTCTCAGAGGACGGCTGTCAGGAGAGCATCTGTGCTTTGGAAAAGCATACTCTCTGTGCTTTTATTTTGCTTATCTCTGTGCTGCACGCTGCAAAAGACTTGGCCAGATCTACGGCCAAAGATTGGGGGAAAGCGTGTGGGTCATAAAGGTCTGAGAGCTCCTTCCGGCTGTTCAGAACTGTGCCGGGCCTCTCTGTGTTGCAGATCACTACGTGACTTTCTAAATCTTCTTTGTTGACCTATTTACATGTCGGGACCCACTCTCTAAGGTGTTCCATAAATCTGTAACTGTAATTATATGTGCTTTTCTATTCTTACCAGTCATTTAAAAGTTTTCTTCAAATAAGCATATTTGGTTTAGAGAAGTAGAAAATAGGTATATCATAACAGATTATTGTAAGTGGGTTTATTTTAGAGCTACCCTGAGGATATGTGTACTGCCGTGGGCCCAAGTTCACTGCTCTCTGGTGGGTTTGATTAATGTGGATACCCACTGCAGTACGCAAGCAAGCGTTAGCGCAGCTGTTGTGAGGTCTTGGACCAATTCAGCGACTGTCCACTGCATTTTGGCTACATAGGTACATAGGGATAGCCCCCAAGATTTCCACTTACACCTAAAATAGGAAAAGCTTTTATAATTAAATATTTGGTGATATGCCTTTTATACAGATAGCTTCTGGGTTCTTATTATTCCCCTGCTTGAAAACATGGGTTTGGTTTTTTTGGTTTTTGGTTTTTTTAATTAAAGTAATACCTGTTTGGAATGGAATTTTTGAAAAAACATAGATGAGACTAAAAAAGTTGCCATTTAAAAATCATAACACCTTAAGACAGTGGTCAGCAAACTGCAGTTGACTGATGAGTTTGCCAACCACCGACCTAGACTGTCAATTACAATGTTGTTCCTTATGATTAAGCCCCTATCCCAGTGATCGGCAAACTCATTAGTCAACAGAGCAGAAAACTGCCCTAAGATATTCTTTATAAGTCATTCAAATAAAAATTTGTCACTTAATCCCAATTCAAAATAGAGAATTTGCTAACCTTTTGTTATAGTAGGGTTCCATACTGTGTGTGGGTGTGTTTTTGCTTTATTTTGAGGAATATATAAAATAGAATAGTCTCAGATGCTAATATATGCTACAGCTTGGATGAACCTTGAAAACAATATGCTGAGTGAAAGAAGCCAGACACAAAATAGCACATATTGTGATTCCGTTTATATGAACGGGCAAATCCACAGAGACAGAAAGAGACTAGTGGTTGCTTAGGATTGGGGTGGGTGTTTGTATATGGTAATGGGTGATGAAATGTTCTGAAATTGATTGTGGTGATGGTTAAACAATCCTGTGAATATACTAATAACTCATGAATTGTAACTTTAAGTAGTACGTTGTATAGCATGTGAACTATATCAGTAAAGCTGTTCATAACTATACCTCCCTCCTCCCCAAGAAAAAATAGGGTGATTTTGCAGAATTTCAAACTGAGCTATCAAAAGGAGGATTAAGTATATAGTTATAATGCACAGTTCTGCCTTGGACTGCCAGATATATCTTACTGTTATAAACTGTCATAAAGATTTTCCTATGGTGCATAACTATTTCAAGGTCCATTTTAAAAGTAGGAGATTACAATATAATTATTCACTTGAGCACTGCAATATTCAAAATGATCATGAGTTTAATATATAGTCTGAGACATGATACAGGCACATCATTTTAATGATTATGATAAGAGTTTGCCTTGATGTGTTTGATTTTTAATGTTACTGTCTTTTTTAATGTATTGGTTTTAAAACTTTCTAACTGGTAACTTTTTCTCCCCCTCCCCTCTTCTTCCTCTCTCCACCCTTCCCCGTGTTCTCCCGTCTTGTCTTCAGAGGAATGCAGTAGCATGGATAGTTGATGGCGAATCTGGAGCAGACGACTTCTGTTTAACTTAAATTAGTCGTATTTTAATGGCTTGGGATTTGGTGCAAACAAACATGATTGATAGCTGGACAGACATGCTCGTCATGAAAAAGAACCATTTCTGAAGCCCGGTTGGGGCCAAACATTTACACCTTGCTTCATAGTAACCCGTTGAGATGAAGCACGTCGGTAGAACGTTGTTGGACACCATGTTGAATTACCCCCCATCGGTTGTGAAGAACTGTGCTACATTCAGGCTTACCCATTGAACTCAGTACATATATTCCCCCCCTGCCTTTTGTCTGGGGGGATACCATTCTTGTTGCTCTTCTGTGTAATGAAGTTTAAAATGCTTGTTTGGAAACTTTATTTAACAGTTTAGAAGGCTTGATAGAAAGAGTGCATTAGTCTGGAGAGTATACATCGGATAGGAGAGAATTCCCTCCTCTTGTTTCTCCAAATCTTTCCGCCTTATTTAGCTTGAGATCTTTGCAGCTTGGTTCATGGATTCTAGCCTTGCCCGTTGCACAGTATATACAGATCCAGATGATAAACCAGTGAACTATGTCAAAAGCACTCTCAATACTACATTTGACAAAAAGTTTTGTACTTTTCACATAGCTTGTTGCCCCGTAAAAGGGTTAACAGCACAATTTTTTAAAAAATAAATTAAGAAGTATTTATAGGATCAAAGTGACTTCCTTTGTATACATTTGGAATCTAAACCAGCTTAAAAAACAGTTTCCTCTATGACTTAGATGCGCAGTCCAGCTGATGCTCTTCTGGAATACCGCCTGAGACAAGGTCAGAAGCAGTGCCGGGAAGGACCTAACACAGGAAACGCAGAGTAATAATTGGAAGGTCCCCCCCTCCCCTTTTGTTTTATTCCTGAAGTAACATCCTACCTGATCTTGAAGAGATTTAAGATTTAAAAAGGATTTTAAATATAATGGACATGAGAGATCAGTAGGCAGTTTAGGCTTTTGGCAAAGCTTGTTCCGAGTTGTTCTCAGCTTGGGAGTCGTTTGGTGTGATCTAGCCAGAGAGTAGAAGCCGCAGGTGGAAGTTGGTAGTATAACTGAGCTCGTTAGAACGCAACAGGTTACAAACACATCTAACCTGGTTTCACACCTCATGGTCATTTCTCTTAATCGCCCTTAATATTTTGACATGTAGGGATCCATCCATCTAGAGAAGCTTCCCTCTCAGTTTTTCAGATATTGCCATACTGAACCTCATTCTAAACTGGTGCTGTGGGTAGTCTTTCCCTCTCCCCTCCCCTCTTAGTGTACGGAAAGGTTTCCTTCATGGAAAAGCACTTTTCATTTTGAGAATCTCACTTGCAAAAGAAGCCAAAAGCCCGGTGTTCACATTGTGCTTTTAAGGCCGGTAACAGCTGAATGCAGCATCCTTCAGGCCCCTTTGCAATTCCCTCCCTTTTTCAGTAGAAGATACATAAGTGACCACAGCTGTTACCTTGGGAAGAGGCGTGGGAATGCCCCCAAAATACGATTCTGGTGAAGAAAATCTTGAGTGAAGTCCCATTAGGCCCAGCCAAGTCTATGTCATTACCGTGAGTAGACTCTGGAGGATCCACAAAGGAGAGAAAAACAAGGATGTCAGAATCCTCCCATCGGGGCTGGGGAGTTGGGGATGGCAGCACAGAAACAGGAAGACGGGGAAGGGGAGAAGGAAGAAAAACATAATTGGCCTTAAAAAAGCATGGATTCTCCCAACAGCTCTCCTAGTCAGAGGAAAGGACAGATCGTGGTCAGCAGATTCTTTTATCAAATTGGTATGTAAAAGATTTCTTTGAAGCTCCATTTTGCAGAGATCATTACTTAGAATCAAGAAATTCCTGTTTTGATACTTCTGAGTTCAGAGACTATATGTTACAGTTTATCTGGTACTTCATTTTTCTTAACTACAATTCCTTTTTACTTTAAGCTTGAATAAAAAATCTTCCTTGGTAACTGTATATAATTTAAGTGGCAACTTCTCTTTACCTCAGTGCAGTTAAATCCATATCTTAAGTGATTCGTGTATATACCCTGAAGCCGTTAATACACCCCAGGCTGCAGCAACATCCCTCACAGGACGTGAGTCTAGACACTCCACAGCTGTTTACAGACATGGTTATGGTGTGTCCGGGAACATGGCGACACTGGCTGAAATGTGTGCCCCTTCAGGGCAGTTTAAGGCCTGCATGTTCAGAGTGGAATGACGTGAGGCACACCTTACACTGACATAACTCCACTAAAACGGAGTCACAACTATGCAAAGGTCTCTGCAGCAGCTAGCTAGGTGAGTTTATTTTCCAGGTTGGTCTGAACGGGCCACTTCCAACGTATGCTGGTACTTGGCTGTGCCATACACGTCTGTCTCACGCATTTGCCATGCTGCGATTGTGCTGGAAAGGTGAAATAAGTAAGAAACCCAGGGACTTAGGGTACAAAGAGCCCAAGAGCAGGATGGCCTACCCCTAGGTGTCACTGAAAACTTGAGTGTGATGTAGAGTTAACAGAATACATGGGAGAGAGCTATCAGGCCAGCGTAAGATAACTAACAAACGTATGAACTGAAAAGTACCAATACTTTTTGCACATAGATCAAAACAGAGTGGGGAGTTTTGGCTCCCAAAAATCAGGTTAGTAGGCTCATTTCCATGTGCTTAAAAATGTTTTTTTTTTTTTGTTATGAATTAAGGGCTAGAGCAAGTATGAAATTAAATGTCTTTTTCCTCCAAGTAATTGGTTATTCATACTCCCATGTTGGGTTTGGGGGTTACTGAGGCGGGCTGTGTGGGTGGTGGTAATGGATCAAGAGTGGAGAATTGGGAGGGATGACTACACTGCAGTTTTGGTTTTTGTACTTGAATTACTAGTGTCCATGCCATCCACCTTTCTGTCACTCTTACTGGCCAGGGAAATGTGTTACATCAAACCAGGTAAGTAGTTTACACAGGAAACTTGACTTACAAATGGCCCTACAAGTTGGCCTGTTTTAGTGGGTGGGAGCACAGAAAGGGATTACCTAGGTAATTCCAATAACCTGCTAGTTACCAGGGGTGGGGACATCCAATTTTTGTCAGTATTTTCTTAATCTGAAATCACACTGGTCGTAACGTGGTGATTTTATTATTAGGAGTGTTCTCCCTCCAGAGTGGCATTCCGTGACATTAATAGAAAACCCTTCTCCCCCGCCCCTCCCCATCCTGAAATTCTCTTTTTTAGGATGTTGGTTCCTGCACACCAGAACCTCTGCTCACAGTGGCAAATGTATGGTACGTCTCTTGAAAGGGACATGTCCATGTCAGTTTCTTTCACAGCAGAAGATGGCTGCTTTTGAATGGGGAGGAAAGAAGACATTTTTCTTAATATCCTTTGGTCCCATCTCTCAAACGGATATGCATTCTGATTTGGGTTTAATTCCTCACTTAGACATTAGCAGCTCCTTTGGGGTTGCTCTCCAAAATAGTACTTCCATTCAGAAAAACACCATGTTTGATTTAATATGAACAAACTCAAAAAGAGAGGTGAATTTCATTCACACATAGACACTTTCTAAAAACGGTGAACTGAATTGAAATTTCTCAGTGTTGTTAGGCTGTTACAGTAGCTGCCCTCTATAGTTGCAAAAACAAAAACTATAAAAACTCATCCCCTATCTACTTAATCCAGATAGCCTGGATGTAATGAAACTAGTAGTCTAAAACTGTGTGTGTTGTGTGTCTGTGGAAGAGAGTACTTCATAGAAAGGCCTGGAAACAGCTGTCCTAGGCTCCTGTCAGTTTTACGAAAATTCTTGTGCACATGCGAAGTGCCCTCTCCGAATTGAAGGCTTGGCTAATACTGGTATATTTTTATAAGACTGATACGGTGTCCCCGTCTTTAACGTAAACATTTTCATGATCAGGGTCAATGCGCTAAAACTGAATGGTAACATTTTTAGGCACAGATGGAAAATGTTACTGGCTCCTTGAAAATGGGGGTGTGTGGCGAGGGGACTAGATCCACAAAAAGCATGTACGTCCTTACAAACCAAGCTGGAGAGATCAAGAAAAGAACTCGTGTTGATCTCAAGGTTTCTAAATGGTCAAGGTTGACATGGCATTGTGGTGGAACTAGTTAACGTTAGAGCTTTTGGTATGTAATAACGACTTGCTATGGACTGATTAACTTTCAAAGGATGTGTTCTTAAATTTGGGGGATTGTTGTTTTTTGTTGTTGTTTTTTTAACTGCCTCTCAAATTATATTTAGTAGTTTAAATTTCTTTGCTTTATTATTTCATTAAAGCATAAACAACTTCGGGTCTCTGATATTTATTTTCACTTGTCCCACTAATTATTTGCAAAACACCCTTTGTTAACGTTTATAAATGTGTAGTATATTAAATGTCTTTAAAATTCTGTTCAGTTGACGCTACATTGACTTTGATTTGTGTTACTGGTTTGTTTTTTTAATACACCTTTCCATGTCAGTGCGCAGCACTTAACCGTTTGTATTCCCTTTCAACCCAATAAACAGAATGAGTAAGTAACTGTTGCTGTGTTCACTCTCATAATATGCATTGATCTGCATGTTTTAGTATTGTTTTTACCTGAAACAACCAATTTGCTAAATTTGACTTTTTTTTAATATGTTTTATTGATTTTTCACAGAGAGGAAGAGAGAGGGATATAGAGCTAGAAACATCGATGAGAGAGAAACATGGATCAGCTACCTCTTGCACACCCCCCACTGGGGATGTGCCTGCAACCAAGGTATATGCCCTTGGCTGGAATCAAACCTGGGACCCTACAGTCCGCAGGCCGACACTCTATCCACTGAGCCAAACTGGTTTCGGCTGAATTTGACTTTTTAAGTTGATGACTAAGGAAGCACTCTTTTATCTGTTGGGAAATCTTTTTAAAGAACTATTGTGTGAAATCATGGATTAACTTAGAAAAATTTATATTTTTAAGGAGTCACATATCCCACTTGTTCAAAATATTACTGACCTGAAATTATGCACTTGGGCATCAAACACTTTGATTAGTTTTGAAAATATATTTCTAATTTGAAATTAAAATTTATATCATAATATTTTAGTTCTTTAAAGATCTAAGAGTGGAGTTCTGTTCAGTGAAAGGAAGCTCAAATATGAAAAATTTGTATTTGGCAGGCAAATGCTGGCCATCGGCATAGGGTGGCAGAGCCACTCAGAAGCCAAGAGGCACTGCTGTGAGCCATGGTTGAGACTTCCTCTGGTCAACAGGCAAGAGAGCAAAGGAGTTTTCCTACTCGTTTTCCTTAAATACAGCTCTGCATTGCAGAGGGAGCCAACTCAGATGGTCCATCCGCATTTCAATTTCTATACCAGATTCCAGCACCAGCAATAAGAACCTCCCAACCTTGAACCTAAGAGTAGAGAGTGGTATTTAAAACAATTCCCTTCCACTTAAGAAAAGTTGATGGTCTTTGGTTACATATTTAATGGCTTGAAATTTTTTCCAGAAAAAAACGTAAAACTATATAAGAAAGATTCAACAAACCATGTGATCCCATCATCCTAATACTACCTCCAAGCATCTTAAGTGTCGCCATTGACCTTGTGGCAGTGAGTTCTTCTCCCTCAGACTTGATTGGCGTACTTAACTGAGCTTGCTGGATATGAAACAGATTCTAATCACATAGTTCGTGAGATATTCAAGCAGCATGAAATTACTTATAGCTACCGCAGGAAACCGGGAAGGACGAGTTTCAGTCAAGGTTTCAATTCCATTTTGTGGGGCTTTTTAATATACTTTCTGTCGCCCTTTCCCTTTAAAGTGTGGCTGCCTTCCTCTGGCGTGCGAGGTTGGGTGGCAGCCCCACTCCCACATCCATGCTCCCACGTGGGGGTTCAGGCTAAGACTGAGAACCAGAAATCTACAAAAACTCAACTCATGGTTTTTTAAATAGTTTATATGGTAAAAATACAGCAAAAAATATTTTTTTTGTTCAGGGAGGAAAAAATATACTGCTATGGTTACGGTTCTAAGGATGACGTAAGACCTCTGGCTCCTCAACCGTGCACTGTAGTGTCGCTGACTTCCACCACGGCTGCTCCAGCTTCAGTCGTTAATCAACGCTAAGATCATACTGTGGAGAGAAGACATTCAGATCACCCATGGTTCCTGCAGGCATGTCCCACACAGTCCGCTGTGCCCGCATCACATCCCTAAGGCTCATCTAGGGACCTCAACGCCCATTTGAGTAAAAGACGATTATTTACATGGAAAGAAAAAAAAGATCTATGTTGGGGTTTCTAGGTGCCCTGTGTTTTTTTTCACTAAAAAATAAGGTAAACACAGTGGATATAACCTAACACCAATATTGGGCTGCCATCTAGGAAAAACAAGCTATGTCCAATTCTCTAGCCAGATCTTTGAATGCCAACCCTTTGTATGCCTGCAACCCCGCCTTCCCTCCCAACCTGCCAACCTAAGACCTTCCTAGTCAGGCGTCTCCTTCCACAACTCATCTCCCACCCACTGGCTTCCACTGCTGCCCTGGTTGGTGAGCTCTTCCCAGACGAGTGCTCTGACCAGGGCGTCGTCACTCATGTTCCAGAACAGCATCCAACCACGGCATCCCAGGCTGCTGGCTTCTACAGAGGGACCGGGTGCTGCTCCCTTGTGTCACGGTGCAGTCTCAGTAAACCCCCCACCAAAACCACCACAGTCACAAGCTGCCATTTCCTTTACTGGGATCAGCTTCGCTCTACTGAGGTCACATGATGAAATGCACAGAAATAACCTGGCATTACTAATGGTATGAGTTGTTTAAAGACTAGTAGTTCAACGTTAACCATACTCAGTGTACTCAGTGCACAGACCAGATTAAGGTAGTAACCAATGCTTTTTTAAAGAATTTTTTTTTTAGAGTTTAGGTCAGCACAAACCTCAGTGCTTACAGTCATTATCTCATTTAGTCCACATCAACCGATAAGGTAGG